CATTCAATTAAATGTAGACATTGATGTTTCACATGGGTTATCACCCCAACTGATTCATCTCACACAATGTTGATGACGTTAAGATGTCTCAACGCGCTTCACAGAATATATTGCAAAGTGAATTGACTGTATATTTTGTGGGTGAAACGCAGCAGCCAATTGTGCTAAGCAGTGTCCCACAAATAGCTATGGAATTGAATGACCAAATTATTATTTTTTTGAAAGGATTATTGCCCCCGAAGGCAATCCGCCAATCGACTAACAACCAAGTCCCTATTACTGCTAGGTAAACAGAGGCAGGTGGAGTAAGGAATCTTGCCTAAGGTTTCACCTTACCCAGGAATCAAACCCGGGTCCTCTCGCTTGCGAGACGAGCGCTCTAACCACTGAGCTACAGGACTCCACATAAAAGGCGGGTTTTGTTGGTGGAACATTTTAAATGCCCTGAGAGCACAGTTATAGAAAAAATAGAATGTGATACTTTTACTTGCCCTTTTCATTCTCATTCTTTTCCCCTTTCTCTGGTACTTTAACCATTTGATAGATTTGTCATTTTATAATGTTTCTGGTTTGATCCATCAGAAGCCTTGCCTTGTCGTACAGACAGGCTGAGATCAAATTGCATTATTAATTGTTGAATTGCACTGAGTATCTGTCAGAGTTGGAAAGCGATGACCATGAAGTCCAAATGTGTGTAATTTGCCAGCACCAGTGGCAAACAAATGGGAAGGAAAATCTCTGCATTTCCAGAAAGCAGCGGCTTGAAGCAAGGAATTTTAAAAGCATTTTGTGTTAGGTTTTTTTTATCATTACTCCAATGTATTAACTATTGAGTACTACCATGTCACGAGCCTTCACAAATTGGAATACTCGGATTTTTCACTTGTTCCCAAAAGATCTGACTGGCTCATATTTCAAACTTGCGCGATTGGTGATATTGTTATTTTTTGGCATTCTATCAATCTGAATATCTTCACTCTAGTTGTTGCTTATAATTATTTTTAATCCATAACAACAACAAATAATGACATTTACACAGCGCCTTTCACGTTGTATTGTTGCAAGTGGCGGTGTGGTGGGGGCTTGCTGCTGCTGGGTATGTATGTGTGGTCTGCGTAGCTTTTTGTTTTAGTTCTTGGAGTGGAGGAAATTCTTGCCTTCAGCCTGTTTCTCTTTGTTTCCTTGGGTGATCCACTGCTCATTCCTCACTTCTCTATCCAACTGTGCTTATTCACTGTGTCCTAGTTTGTCCAGTGATGTCTTGTTACTGACCCATTCATCACTCCGACTCTTTGATCTCTTCTACGCTGTCTTTCACCTCCTCCTCAGCAACTTCAGTCCCATCTATGCGGTCCACGTGCCTCACGTTTTTACTTGCAATCTGCATAAGTTTGCATTTGTCCATATTAAACTTAAATTGCCAGCAAATTACCTCAGGTAAGCTATGCAGTTTTAGCTGGTTAGACTCCAGCAGTTACCCCAACGCAAACTCTGGGGTCCCCAAGCCTTAGCCAGCCTGTGCCTAATACTCTCTGGAATTAGGTAAGCAGGACGTTTCCCTCCAGGGAGAGAGAGCCCATTTCATTCCAACAATCTATCTCTGGGATTTCTACATGTAGGTGGGAGGCATGCAAACCTCAATTTGGTTTGGAGACTCTTAAGCACGGTGATGGGTTTCTGCATGAGTCAGACACCCAACTGACCACAAAAAAAAAAATCATCCCGGATACACTGTGCTTGATTTTCTATTTGACTTGTTTTCTGGTGCATTTTGGCCATTATTTGGCTGATGGGAACTTGATGGTACCTTTCGTCCCTTCTAAGCAGGAGATGCAATCTGGCAGCACATGGTGTTCTGATGTCTCTGGAGGTGATCAGAGATTGTTCGTCACGCACTGCGTAGAAAGGCTTGGAGACAAAACATTAAGATTTCACAATCCCCACAGTCATCCAAGGTGATTGCTAGAATTGAGCTAATTGACTCCAGCTCTTTGTACACCTGAGTAGAGGAAATTAGAGGTATGTAAGTTGTAGCCTTTGGCGAGAGGACCAGCTATTCTGTCTGTTTCATCTCTAATAACAGGAAGGGATAAGTACTCTTAATTCCTTTTAGCTGATGAGCAAAGGGAACTTATACATATCTATCTATAGGGTGTAGATGAGTGTTCCGTGCCAGCCATCTTGGCTGTACTTGGGCAGCAACAAATGTAATCCAGGTGAGAAAGATTCCAGCCTGTTTATCTGCCAAATCCTTTGCATTTGTAAGATAATGGTAGCACTTTCCTATTACTTGGCTAATATCAATCGCCTGGAGCCTTTATGTTAATGGTGCACAAGTCAGAATTGGCAGGGCATCTCTAAACATCAACCAACACCTTGGAGTAAAAGCAATTGAGTTTAAGAAATAAAGCTAAAAGGAAACTTTTCGTAACTCCATATAGATGGGGGTAGTTTCACCTTGCTCCCTTCAAGGCACATCTCAAGATTCTGCTCTTTGACTGCGCCTTTGTTCACCCTCCTACCCCTACCAACTGTGCATTCATTACACAAAAATTAAGTTATCGGTTATTCAGAATCTGTTAGATAAGAGAGTACTGCACCCCCAACTACAGTGCTCTAATCTCCACCGCAAGAACACAAAGTTCAGACAATTGGCAAAGAATGTTCCTTGAGAAGGTTAGTAGAATTTTTGTTAACGGACTTGAGCTGCCCTTTCATGAACAAAATGGAGCAACCCTTTCATTATGTCCTATAGCTTAGTGTTTAGAGCATTTGCCTTGTAAGCGAGAGGACCTGGGTTTGATTCCAGTTCTGTTGTTAGTCGATTGGCGAATCACGTTTCCGGAGGTAATAATCCCTTCAAAAATAATAATTTGGTCACTCAATCGACCACTCTTTATGGGACGCTGCAATAGGCTCTTGCATTTCACCCACAAAATATACAGTCAATTCACTTTACAGTAAATTCTGTGAAGTGATTTGAGACTTTCGAAGACGTGATGAGGCGCAATATCGAGTGCAAGGATTATTATTATGTGTGGGTAAGTAAATGTTTTGTCAATGTGCGGGACAGGATTTTTCGTGACGTGAAGGTGCTGAAGAAATATTGAAACTGCCAGGCCAAGTGCTCCCTGCAGAAATGTTGAGCATATCTCCCTATCTGAAAACTTGCAGCATGAATTTTGAAATGGCATGTTTCTTAAATCTGTATTATTGGTTGTGGGACAATTTCTGTGTGTAAATTAGCTGTCGTTTGCTCACAAAACACATTGTCGCTAGACTTTACAGTAAATGCTATGAAGCTCTTTGAGATGTCTTCCAAACGTGAAAGGAGCAGTACGAAGTGGAAGGAATATTATAAAATACAACAACAACAACTTGGATTTATAAAGCGCCCTTCATGCCGGACGGCGTCTCAGAGCGCTTTACAGTAATGGATCCTGGGGCTGAGCCGGAGGGGGAGGAGCCAGGGGGAGGGGGAGGAGCCAGGCGAGGAGGAAGGGGGAGGGGGTGGAGGGAGGAGGGGAAGGTGACCAAAGGTGCGGTCGAAAAGAAAGGTCTTCAGCAGAGACGTGAAAATGGGAAGAGAGGGAGTGAGACAAAGGGAGTGAGGCACAGAGCCTCGGGGCACAGTGGCTGAAGGCACGGCCGCCGAGGGGGGAGCAGAGGACTCGGGGAATGAAGAGGAGACCAGACCCGGAAGAACGAAAGCAACGGGGACTGTTTTGAGGAGGTCAGAGAGATCGGGGGGTGCAGAGGAGTGGAGGGATTTGAATACAAGAGTGAGGATCTTGAAGTGGATCCTCTCTGGGACAGGAGCCAGTGCAGTCTGGCCAGGACTGGGGGGATTAGAGAGAGGGGTCTGGGACGGGTGAGAATGCGGGCGGCAGAGTTATCAATGATTTTTCATCGATTCATAGAATGTTACAGCACACAAGGAGGCCATTCGGCCCATCGAGTCTGTGCGGCTCTTTGACAGAGCAACTGACTTTTATTAACCCCACTCTCCAGCTTTCTCCTCATAACCCCACAAACCTGTCTTCCCCGATACCTATCCAGTTCTCTCTTAAAAGCTGTTATCGAATCGGACTTCACTGCCCTTTCGGGCGGATCATTCCAAATTCTAACAACTCGCTGAGTGAAAACATTTCTTCTAACCTCCCCTCTGCGTCTTTTGGTAGATATCTTCAGACTGTGGCCACGGGTCACAGACACACCTACCAGCGGAAACAGCTTTTCCCTATCTCGCCTGTTGAAACCTTTCATGATCTTGAAGACCTCTATCAGGTCCCCGCGTAACCTTCTCTGCTCTAATGGGAAAAGTCCTAACTTCTCCACTGTCCTCATAGCTAAGGTTTCCATTCCTGGTATCATTCTCGTGAATCTCCTCTGCACCCTTTCCAGTGCCTTAATGTCCTTCCTGAGGTAAGGTGCCCAGAACTGGACGCAGTACTCCAGCTGAGGCCTAACCAGTGTTTTGTATAGATTAACCATAACCCCTACTCTTATACTCTATGCCCCTACTAATAGAGCTCAGTACGCCAAATGCCTTTTTTACTACCTTATCTACCTGCTCTGCTACCTTTACTGATTCGCTTACTACAACACCCAGATCTCTCTGTATGTTCACCCCCCTTAAGATTGAGCTCCAAGTCTATATTGCCTCTTATCATTTTTCCTCCCTAAGTGTATCACCTCACACTTATCCACATTGAATCCATCTGCCACATGTCAACCCATTCCACCATTCTGTGTATGTCTGCTTGCAGTTGGTTACAGTCCTCCTCACTATTTACTACCCTACCTAACTTTGTATCATTGGATTACAGAGGTAAAATAATAAGTCTTATCTTTATTTACTAACTTGGTTTCCAAATACAGTTTGTTGTTGTTCATGAAAAGGTGATTGCTTGTGTATTCAGTATACAGTCTTGGCTAGAATGCCTGTCTTTATTATAAAATTGTACAAAATACAAAAAGAATATTTCTGTTCTCCCCAGGTTTACTGGCCTGGAAGGTCCTAGTGGCTTTGGCTTTGAGCTGACCTTCCGATTACGTCGAGAAGCTGGAGAAACAGCACCACCAACTTGGCCTGCTGAGCTGATGCAGGGACTGGCCCGATACGTCTTCCAGTCAGGTAACTAACTGCCTTCACTTGGCTTCACGGTCCTGTGGGCAGCAGATATGCTGCTCTTCACCTGTTTTCCAGATCAGCCGCCCGCCCCCCCTCCCCTTTGAGAAAAGATTATTGACGGGCTCCTCATCAGGCACATCTGTAGCTCAGAATTTGCCTTTTGGCTGACTTCTGGAAGATACATTTTGCTGAATTTCTTCAATCATTTGCTGTCAGGAACTGCTCACCAGATGGTGTTTGAAGTCGGTGTATTCTGCCATTTCTCAGAATACTAAAGTGATTTGAATCCAGCAATTTTTAAGACAATTGCACTAGTTATAGCAGTTTATAACTTTTTAACATCTCAATATTTAACTATTTTGGGCTGGCTCAAGTTTGTTTTCCCCCCCTCACACTAACTTTGGTGGTTTAAGTTAGTGATCGAGTATCTAAACTGTGATCCATTCATTCACTGTGACACAATGAGAAAATAATTTGAATTGAAGGAGTGTTCTGTTTGACAGTGCAGAGATGTTAATTCTCACCTGGCTTTATACTGCTAACAACTTGGTAGACTATAACTAGAGTTTCCTAGTGTTCTCCAAGCTTGTATACACTTGTGATGCCCTGGAAACGCACGCTTTGCATTTCTGCAGTTGTAACTTTGGAAATTCAATGGTACAAAGGGCACTTCATGCCCCACTTCTGACCCACTACCTGCTGGCTCTGGTCTCCTCCACTCCACCATCCACGGCTGTGCTTTCAGCCACGACACCGCGAAAATATGGAACTCCCTGCCTCAGTCCCTCCACCTTGCCACCTCCTTCCCCGTCTTCAGATCCCACCTGAAGATCTTCCTCTTTGACCGCGCCAAGCCCTTTGACGTGCCCTCTCCCCAGCATAGAGTCGTGCTTTCCCACTGTTAGGCGCTCCGACGCAATGAAGGGCACTATATTGCAAGTTGCTGTCGTAGTTGTGTGTGTGTGTGAGAACTTTGTTACAATGCACAGAATTAAAAGCTTTCACCAACAGAACATGGAGAGCAGCACCTTAATATACTTTTGGCACTGCGTCCAGTTTCACTACCATTCTAGTGTGTCAGCTGTGCATTGTTGAAGTGATGGGTTGGTACACAATAAAAGGCATTACTGTTGCAGTTGATCTGAAGGTGTACCATGTGCCATGTGATTGGTATTAGTCGTTTTTAGGCATATTGTGCTGCAGCACAGTAACAGAGAATTCAACCCGAGTTTAGGCCAGAGGGAGGTGATTAACACACATCGTCTCAGAGAGCAGACAGGAAGGTTTGTTCAACACCCCTCGCAATTTGTTCTGACATTTGCACAAGCTCACGACCTATGAATTGTGCCTGGATTGGATTTGTACCAGAGCCACACGCCTAGGTTTCCAAATCTTAAATAAACTGCATGGTTCGTAGGTGTTTGTTTTAAGGAATGTAGGCTCCTCACATGCATCAGTGATTTCAGCTTGTCCAATGAAAGAATTGAGTCATCACATCCCTTCGCAAAACCTTCAAAACCTTTTGGCTGTTTGTGTAAATTTGCAATGTACTGTGTCACCTACAAAAATAGTCATATAGTGAATCCTATTAAGTGCTCTGAAATATCTTCCAGACGTGAAAGATCCTTCTACAGCAATAGCCTGTATTTATATTGCACCCTTTGCACAAGAGAGCATCTGGGCTACCTTATGCGGTTGGATGCTGAGCAAGGGAGAAGGTTGGTGACCATAGGCAGGGACATAGAGGTTGGCCTTTGGGGCAATTTAAAGTGCAAGGATCATAAAAATACTGAAGTAAGCAAGTGGTGAGTTGTTTCTCTCACCAGAAAAACACCTGAGTGTGTTCTGTAGGTTTTGGGTTGGAGTACATATAAAATGCAATAAACCTCACAAGTTGTATCAGTCGGGACCAAACATTTAATATGACTTATACAAAGAATGAGTTATGTCAAACTTGCATAGAATATAAACTCTTGAATGGGACTTGGGCAGATGTACAATTTAGCCGATTGTACAATTTATACAGATCAGAATTGTGTGTGTTTTACTACAACATAATCTTTTGCTTCCTGTCTTTCCAGTGAGAAATATTTCAACAGAAGTGCACTCTAGATTTTTTTAACTATATACTGAACTGAAGAAATTGTTCCCAAGAACTGCACTTACTATGTACTTCAAAAAATATAAATTGGTTTTAAACTTCTATGATAATAATCCTTGCATTTGATATAGCGCCTTATCACATCTTCTAGATGCCTCAAAGCGCTTCACAGAATATACCGTAAAGTGAATTGACTGTATATTTGTGAGCGAAACACAGTAGCCAATTGCGCACAGCAGTATCTTACAACAGTCGTAGATTGAGTGACCAAATTATTATCCTTTTTTGAGGGACTGTTATCCCAGGAAAAGCGATCGGCCAATCAACTACTTACTGCTAGGTAAACAGAGGTGTGTGGAGTAAGGAAACTTGCCCAACATTTCGCTCTGCCGGGAATTGAACCTAGGTGTCTCGCTTGTGAGGCGAGTGCTCTTACCACTGGGTGACTTTTATATTTTGGCATTTGTATGCAGTTAATTCACTTTACAGTATATTCTGTGAAGCGCTTTGAGACACCTCAAAGAAATGACGAGGTGCTATGTTTCCAAAGATGTTCAATGCTGTTCATTATTTATCCACACAGAGGTTTCCCCCCTCTAATCACATACCTCACCTCATCTCCCACTGGGCTCTTACTCGCTGTCTCTACCTGGTAACTTCCCTCTGACCAAGCTCTCTTTATATAAACTGGTTCTTGGCCAATTACCTCCATCTCTTTCAACAATTTATCAACATTCCACGTGTTCTGTTTCTCTGCTAGTTCTCTTCCTGTTTCCAGTTCGACACACAGCTGTCCTTCCTCCTCCACATCTGGACTCTGACCAGGACCACCTTCCTCCACCTCCACCACATTGCCCGACTCCGACTGTACCTTACCCCAAATGCAGCCGAAACCCTTGTGTATGTGTTTGTCACCTCCCGCCTGGATTACTGCAACCCACTCCTCGCCGATCTCCCCAGCTCCACCATTCACAAGATCAGCTCATTCAGACTCTGCCGCCCACATACTGACCCCAACCAAACTCCGTCCCCACATCTCCCCAGCTCTGGCCCAGGCTCCACTGGCTCCCCATCACCAAACGGATCCACTTCAAGATCCTCTCACTCGTGTTCAAATCCCTTCACTCTCTGGCACCTCCCTACCTCTCCAGCTTCCTCACTCCCCAATCCACTACCCGGCACCTCTGCTCAACTGTGTGGAGGGCACTATATAAGTGAAAGTTGTTGTCATTAAACAATAACAAATGACACTTTTGTAGTGCCCTTCACGTCGTAAGGGGGACAGTAAGGGGTTTTGGGATTGAAGTTGGGGTCAGGAGAGGTGGAGGGCAGGGAGAGTGGGATAGGAGGGTGGCTGAAGGCATGGTTGAAGAGGAAAGTCTTTGGATGGGACTTGAAGGAGGCAAGAGTGGAAAATGAGATGGAGGGATTGCGGGTTAGAGTTCCAGGGGTGGGGACACAGATGCTCAATGCCCGACTGCCAATGGTGGGGCAGGAAATGTGGGGGGACCTAAAGCAGGCCAGGGTCCGCCGAGCAGAGTGAGCAGACAGGCTGATTTGGGGGAGGAGGTCGGAAAAGTGGAGGGAGGCAAGACCGTGGGGGGCTTTGTTTTGTACACGAGGAATAGGAAGCCAGTGAAGCCGGGCAAGAACAGGGGTGATAGGTTCTTGGAGCCTGGTGCAAGTGAGAACACGAGTTCTGAATAATCTGCAGCTTGTAGAGGGAAGAGTTGGGAAGTCCCATTAGCATGCAGTTGGTATAGTCAAGCCGGGATGTAATATGAGCGTGTATCAGGGTCTTGGTGGCTTGTGGTTAGAGGCAGCGGTGAAGGCGAGCAATATTGCGGAGCTGGGTAAAGGTGGTATGGGTTAAAGGACCCTCGTTGTCCTTCAAGCTTTAATCAGCTATCCTTGCACCCCAGGTATATCACCTTGAGGTTGTCCTCCCGACTTGATGAGATTCTACTTAATTGATGCCTTCTAGAGATTAACTTACCGACCAGTGGACATGATTTCTCTCTATCTACTCTACCAAAACCTTCACAATTTTAAAGACCTTCATCAGGTCTCCTCTTGAGGTTCCCTTGTTTCAGTGAAAATAGGTCCAGTTCCTATAGTCTCTGCTCATAGGTCAAATCATATCTATTCTCCTTGTGGGGTGGGAGGGGTAAGCGGGGCCTTGGAGCTGAACTGGCTCCAGGTTGACGTACCTGGCAACGGAATGTCATTCCTAGTAAATCTCTGTATCCTCTATGGTGACCCCCACATTCCCAAACCCAGTGACCTATTCAAAGGGCCACTCTAACTGCTCCAAACTTTTTCACACTCTACTGTTATTGAGATATAGTTTTCTGTCAAACTAGATCATTTTTCTATCTGTAAGTATTGGCTTGCATTTATGCTTTGTCTGACAATTCTTTGCTCAAGTGTTGAATCAAATCTCTTTGAAGTTTGCCCTTTTATCTTCCTGTATGAATTAATACTGGCAGCAACTTTAGAACTCTTTGACAATTGCTACTACTTCTTTTCTGAAAAGACTGGAAGTGAATTTAGTCAGACAGGGCTAACATCTGAAGCAAACTGTTTACTGTAGTTTTTATTGGCTGTTAAATCTGCTCTAAGGTATAAAACGTCTTGTAGAAATGTAGAAAGCTTTTTATAATGTAGCTGCGTACATTTCCTCTCCAAAATGTTGTGTGTTAGTTTTCTATTTGTTGGGCTATAGTTGAAGGTGTCCCATTGTCCCAAGGCGCTGCACAGTCAGGAAATTGGACCCGAGTTGGGGGTTGGGATCGGGGGTCGGAGGGCAGGAAGTGTGGGGGTAGGAGGTTGACTGAAGGCGTGGTCGAAGAGGAGGATCTTGAAACGGGCCTTAAAGGAGGCAGGGGAGGAGGTGAGCCAAATGGGACTGTGAGATGGAGTTCCAACGGATGGGGTGAGGGAGGCCGAATGCCTGACCGCCAATGGTGGGGCAAGCAGGGCTGGGAGCAAGGTGCAGGCTGGAGCCCACTGAGCAGAGGGCATGCAAGTTGGTTTGGTGGATCTGCGGACACTTGATTCAGAGCTTTGCCAGCAATGTTTTGCTGTAAGTCATTTTTTCTAAAAAAGGGGCTTAAATTTGGGTTCCAGGTTATTTAGGAAAGATTTCATTTCAAAGCCACCTTAAAAAAAATTGCCCGTCAGTTTATGAAAGGCTGCAGACCAGAAACTCACTATTTTCGTTTTTGATAACCCACAGCATGTGGGTTTTTTTTTGAAAAAGGCTTATATTGGGTATTACAATTTAAAGTTTGATCTTTAATGTTTCCATACTCTCCCTGCTTAACAACAAAAGGGCTAATGTCTCAGCCATCCTTCGGCAATCGATACAAATGCTATGGTAATTGCTGGGTGTGTGAGAGAAACGTGGGGGTAGGGGGGAGTGGGACACAAGCAGGTGGGTTTACAATTGGGGGATTAGCATGTGAAAACCAGGGCTGGGTGTGATTTCTGTTCCCAGGAGAGCTGAGAGCAGCAACGCATTACAGGGATCAGTCACCAAGGCATCCAGTTAAAGTTTGACGTGGCTAATATCCTGGCACAAAGACAGGACCCAAGAAAGGGCTCTTTGTGGCTTTGCATTTCATACGTAGAACAGGGCAGTTTTTATTAAGTGTACCTTTTTTATTTTATTATTTTTAATAAAAGTCTATCTGGGCTTACGCCACACACAGCATGACAGAAAAACATGCATGACTTTTTCCATCCATCTTAACATTTCATTAGCCGCGGCCAAAGCTGGCATTACCGTTTCCGTTTATGTACTTCTTGCTGTTCGGCAGAATCCGGTGAGAAAATGTTACCCCCTTAACCTTTTAGCATTACAGCGTAGTGCAACCGGAACCGATCGATCCTCGGGAAGGAAAAGCGCAGCAAACTTAATTAGTTAATCTGAATGTTTATTTATTTTGACCTCTGCCTGTCCTGTTGCACAAACAATTGCCCAGCGTTCACTCCTGTTTAGGGAGATGCACATATTAAAACTCAAAAGTATTTTAAATGAATTGATGGAACCATTGTGTTTTTTGGGGGGAATTCGGCTTGGCTGTGATAGCTCTCCCTCCCCTCCCTCCCTCCCTCCCTCCCTCACTGTCGCTCTAGCTGTCTTGTTTGTGTGTCTTTGTTGTATTGTGCTCAACTAAAATATTTTGCTGACATCACAGTATGACTTAGCTGATCTAAGCCCGGATGTTAATAGGAAGATGTGCTGCCTTTCCGACCTGCTTTCTCCCCGCACCACGACCCGCTGCATCTGCTCGGCTGGCTCTGGCCTCCTGCTTATCCCTCGTCCCCTCTGCTCCACCATCGGTGGCTGTGCTTTCAGCCACTACGCCGTGCAGCATTGGAATTCTCTCTCCCAATCCCTCCATCTTCCTGCCTCCTTCCCCTCCTTTAGATCACGACTGAAGACCTTCTTCTTCAACTATGCTTACAGTCACCTCCTCCCGCCCCCCAGCTTGGCCTCAGCCTCTGTCAACGTTGAGTGCTCTGAGACGCTGAGGGGTGCTACATAAATGCAAGTTATTGTTGTATGTGATGTGCAGATAAGAGGAGCAACTGTATTTGCCCACTGTGAATACTTTTCAAAAATCTTTTCGGACAACTGATGCGCAAGTTGAACTATATACTGTTCTTCAGCTCTCAATAACAACTTACATTATATAGCAACCTTCACCCAGGGCAGAGTCTTGGAGCACTGAACATTGTCGGAGCATAATGCTGAGTCAGGGAGAGAGGGGAGGTGACCCTAGGCACAGTCGAAGAGGAAGGTCTTTGGGTGTGATCTGAAGACAGGCGAGGCAGGGGGATTGAGGCGGAGGGTCGAAATGTTGTCACTTACAGAAAAACAAAATGCCGTGACCTGATCTCGGGATCCAGTTCTGCAAGTCATTGTGGTGGTTAAAAGCTCTGCAGCTTAAACAGATACACGGCTGCTTTGTGTCTCTCTCTCGACTGAATATGCTCCGTCTAAGGTTCAAAGGCGTCAACACAAATTGTTCCTGCATTCTGTTAAGATAGAAGTTGGTTCAAGTTCAGCCAACAGTTCATGGGAGCCAGATTTTCAGTTTGGCCCCAAATCAATCCAGGGGAGGGAAAAACGGTTTCAAAATGTCAAGTTTGCAGCCTGTCGCTGAACATGCTGTGTTAAGACAAGGTCCAAATGGGGAGCCATCTACTGGGGGATGCACTTTAAAGCAAGGGTGTTTGAAATAGTTCTGTACAAACTATTAGGCAATAATAATAATCCTTTCATTTGATATAGCGCTTTTCACGTCTTCCAGACATCCCAAAGCGCTTCACAGAATATACTGTAAAGTGCACTGACTGTTGTGGGCGAAACGCGGCCGCCAATTGCACACAGCAGCGTCCAACAAACAGTCATGGATTGAAAATGACCAATTTATTATTGTATTGTTTTGGAGGGATTATTATTAGGCTCTGTGTGGAGTAAGGAAACTTGCCCAATGGTTCGCCCTCTGCCTGGAATTGAACTCAGGTGTCTCTCTTGCAAGGCAAGTGCTCTAACCACTGAGCTACAGGACTCCACTTATCATGGTAGAATGTATGAAATGTTTAAGAATATCAAAATTAAGCAATCACCATTAAAGGTAACTTTTAATTTGGGGTAAATAATAATCCTTGCATTTGATATAGTGCCTTATCACGTCTTCGAGACATCTCACAGCGCTTCCCAATATATACTGTAAAGTCAACGACTGTTAATGTTGTGGGCAAAATGGAGGGAACAAAGTGTATTCACACTTACAGCAGATGTTTTTTTAAACTATTCTAGGATTGGAAGCATTTAATGCTGTAACAATGCTGGGACAATGTTAGGAAGGCTATCTTTTAAAGCAAGGTGTTCAAGCTACTGACAATGAGAAACTAAAGCATCAAATGCAATGCTGCGTTATGATCACAAAACAGCACAGAAGAATGTTTAACATTAGAGAAATAAACTGGAAGAGAAATGTTTCAAAAATCTACCCTACATATTGTATTTGGGTAGTTTTACTGTAGAACTGTAGGCTGCAATAATAGAAGTAAGTAGCAGTGGTTGGTTGCAAAAGAAAATGGAGGCCAAAGAATATCTTGGGCTCCATTTGTTGTACCTTTTGATAAACTCACGTTTCGGCTTACTGCACAGCCTGTTTGTACAAATTTCTTCAGGGCATCCCAAACATGGTTCTCCTATATTATATGGTTTTGATATCCTATCATTTCGAATCATAGGCAAGTTTTCCTACTCCAGTAAGTAGGATCCCAGTTGTTAGGCAATTGGCAGATCGCTTTCTGGGGGTAATAATCCCCTAATTCTTTTAAATAATTATAATAATCCACGCCTGTTTGTGTGACACTGCTGTGCACAATTGGCTGATGCGTTTCGACCACAAAATATAAAGTTAATTCAATTTACAATGTATTCTGTGAAGTGCTTTGAAAAGTCTCAATGATGTAATAAGGTTTTTATCAAATGCAAGGCTTATTATTATGACAAATAGGACAGTTGCATGATGTTCTTGAAACGCTAGCATTATGAATGCAGTAATAACACTCAAGTGGGTGCTGAGGGAACAGCAGATTGATGGAATTTCACATTAGACTTTAAACTTGGGTTAAACTTTAAAATAACTTCATTCTGATTTTTTCAGACAATTAGTTAAGAGTCACATAAGCTAAATAACGTGTAATTATTTGATTGTATTGTTAATTTAGAGTCTGCCTTGCCATTCAGGTAGATGAAAAAGGACCCCTCTGCCGATCTTAATTGAAAGAGATGTGCTCTTTCTCATGGGCACCTCTGTTTATAATTGCCTCCTAATGTATCCGAACATGCCCCCAAATTCAGATTGGCTGCTCATTTCATTTTTTATAGGACGATGCTGTTACATTTATATTTTAAAATTCACTTTGTTTCCAAACAGTTATATTTTGTAAAGCCCTTTGAAATGCTTATTTGTACATGAAATTAAAGGCACTGTGTATTGATGAATTATTAAATTTGTGAAGAAGATTATAGTAGTAATAATAATCCTTGTATTTAGTACCTATCACATCATTTGAGACGTCTCAAAGCACTTCACAGAATATATTGTAAAGTGGAATGACCGTGAATTTTGTGGCCGATTAATTTTTTAAAAATTATCCACAATTTAAAAAAAATCCCTACAAGATTGGTGGAACTAAACACCTGCTGTGAAGATTTTAAACTTTTGTTTTATTTCTCTCTGCCACACAGAGAATACGTTATGCAGTGGTGATCACGTTTCGTGGCACAGCCCCTTGGACAACAGCGAGTCCAGAATACAGCACATGTTGCTGACCGAGGACCCACAACTGCAGCCTGTCCACACTCCATTTGGAACAGTCGCATTCCTCCAGGTACATTGCGAGCTCGAAACAACAAAATTATATTTATAGAGCATCTTTCACGTTGGGGCCCTCGACAGTCAGGGGTTAGGACCCGAGGATGGGGGAGGGATGAGGTAGAGGTGTGGGAAGGCAGAGAGATGGGAGGGCGACTGAATGCACGATCGAAGAGGAAGGTCTTGAGACCGGCCTTGAAGGAGACAAAGGAGGAAGCAAAGCGAAGGGACCGTGGGATGGAGTTCCAGAGTGTGGGGGCAGAGAGGCTGAAAGCCCGGCCACTGATGGTAGGGCGGGTTGGGCAGGAGACGTGGAGCAGGCCGGAGCCCGATGAACGGAGGGAGCGGGCAGGTTGGTAGGGAGTCAGCAGGTCAGAGAGGTAGGAGGGGGCAAGGCCTTAAAAGTGAGGATGAGGATCTTGAATTCGATCCTCTGGGGGATGGGGAGCCAGTGGAGTTAGGCGAGGGTGGCGGAGTCTGGCAGTGTTGCGTAGGCAGTGCCGGTCATGGTGCGGATATGGGGGAGAAAGGACAGTTCAGGGTCAAACAAGACCCCCAGGTTCCTGACTGGCTCAGTGAGGTTGAGAGTGCAGTCATGGATGCTGATGCTGTCAGCGCACGAGGTGTGGAGGGCCTCGGTTTTGCTGACGTTCAGTTGGACAACTCTTTCATTCTAACTTGCTGGCAGGGAGGGACCCACACTCATTTCTATTATTGTTCTGTCCCTCCCAATTTGTACTTTTTGGAACTTTGGGAGTAAAGTTGAAACTGATGAAATATTCACATTTTGGAGGCCAATTTTCTACCGAATCAGAGGAAATTGTGCTCCACTCCCAGCAGTCTGAATCAGCGTCTGACTTGTTTATTCCCTCTCTCCTCCACCCCCACTCCCTCACCCCACCAGCCCGCCCGCTAAACCAAAACATAATCTATAAATGAACTTGCAGGAAGCAAGACAATAAGCCAACTGAAGATTGTGTTCACCAAAACAATCAAGAATCATCATTTGATACAATGCCTATAACTATCTGAAAGTGCTTCACAAATAATCACTTCATGTGCAGTGACTTGCATATTTGTAGGCCATCGTCGCAGCCTATATACACACTCAGCAATGTCCCACTAACAGCCATGGAATGAATGACAGTAAGTATTACTCTGGCTTTACATGCTCAATCCCATTTAGCAGCAGGTATTCTAGAAGGTCTCTGAGATCTCTCTTTTCAAGGCTGAAGATATAGTACTTACGCAATTATTGCTCATAGCTGCTGCCTTTGGGGTTGTTGTTGTGGAGCTGCCCTGGACAGCCATTTTGTTGGTTGTCGCCATGTTTCAGGAGCTCAGCTCTGCCATCCACGAGATCATTTGCAACCAAAGCCCATTTTGGAGAAGTTCAGAAAAGTTTTTTTTACTGTAAGTCAATTCAGTCCTTTCAAAGGCTATTGTCCTCTCTGATGGGGGAATTGGGTCCCAGTAGTTGCATGTTTTTGCTCTGATGGTGATCCCTGTGAATACATTTGAGTTTGTTACAACAAATCTTGTTCACTCATGGTTTTCCATGATCCTTTGCTGTCAATGACTCTCTGGAGGTGGGCATCAGTAATATCACCTCTGAGTCAGAAGGTTATGGGTTCAGATCCCATGTGAATAATCCCCTCCTTAACCCGAGGGGACTGAGGCTAATTGTACCTTTGGAGTCCTAGCCCATGATTCCAACCTGTAACCTTCCCAATAATAGAATTATACAGCACAGAAGGAGGTAATTTGGCACATCTTGAAAAGAGCTATCCAAATCATTCCGACTCCTCTGTTCTCTCACCATAGCCCTGCAAACTTGTCCTCTCCAACCTGAGTGACCTAATGCTGCACCAGCCTTTGCCTTTACCCAATAAGACATCTGGTTTCCAGTTTGAGACCGTTTCTGCTAGATTCCTGCGGCTTCCAATTCAGTTAGTTCTGTTCTGTTCCAGTTCTGTTTGAAATTGAGTATTTGCAGACTTTTTAGAGTTTTGATCTCCTGATTTGGAAAGGATGTGACTTTGTTAGCTCAATGTGGCTCTCACCTGCTCCTCCGCTTGCTCTCTCTCGTTTCTCACTCTCCTTTCTCTCGTTTCCATTGTGGTTTAATGGAAAAAGCTGCCTGACATGGGTGTGGATTTGTAGCTCTGCTGCACTCTGGGGTGACTTTGTGTGAGTACTGAATCCTCTTAGTGTTTGTTGTCATACAGTTCTTAGCTGCAGAAGCAGTAGCGCTCTTGCTCCTGAATCAGAAAGTTGTGTGTTTAAGCACAACAAAGGGAATTTGAACTTGTAGAGCTTCTTGTATTTCCAAGACCTAATCTTGCATTACAATGCAGTAATGAGGATGTCATCTTTCGGATGAGACGTTAAACCAAATCCCATCTGTCTGTTCAGGTGGATGTCAAAGATCCCATGGCACTGTTCAAAAGAGAAAGGAGTTTCTCTCTCCGGATGTCCTGGCCAACAATCCCTCAATTAAAATTAGTGGAGTCCTGTAGCTCAGTAGTTAGAGCACTCGCTTTGCAAGTGAGAGACCTCAGTTCAATTCCAGGCAGAGGGCGAAACCTCGGGCAAGTTTCCTTACTCCACACAGAGCCTAATAATAATCCCTCCAAAACCAAAAACAATAATAAATTGGTCATTTTCAATCTACGACTGTTTGTGGGACATTGCTGTGCGCAATTGGCTGCCGCGTTCGCCACAAATATACAGTCAATTCACTTTACAGTGTGTTCTGTGAAGCGCTTTGGGACTTATTATTATTGTTAGGATTATTATTGTTATTATTATTACTCTCTTCATGGCTGTGTAGGTGACATTGCAATGCATAAAATTGGCTGCTCTGTTGTCTTACAAAATGCACAGTCACTGCTTTACAATAAATAATAATAATCCTTGCATTTGATATGGTGCCTTATCACATCTTCAAGATGTCTCAAAGCGCTTCACAGAATACACTAAAATGAATTGACTGTATATTTTGTGGGCGAAATGCGGCAGCCAATTGCGCACAGCAGCGTCCCACAAATTTTCGTGGATTGAGTGATCAAATTATTATTTTTTTGAAGTAATTATTGCCCCAGAAAATAATTGACTAACAACTGGCTTCCTACTTACTGCTAGGTAAACAGAAGTGTGTGGAGTAAGGAAACTTGCCCAATGTTTCGCCCTTTACAATACATTCTATGAAGAAACGCTTTGAGATGCAAAGATGATTGTTTTTATGATTTCTTGATCTGCTGATTTTTTATTTCCTGATCATCGCACCCCTTTTTTGATTATTGAGGTTATTTAATTAAGCCACCATTTCTTCCCCATTCAGGAAATCTCCACCTCTCTTCCACGTGCTGGTGAGGAAGGGAATCATGAACTTGCTATGTAAATGTCCTCATATCCTTAGCATATTCGTGTATTACAATCCCTGGGCACCCAATTATTTCCCAAGGGAGTTTCTCTCTCCCAATGTCCTGGCCAACAATCTCCCAAATAAAATCGATCACTCCCTTCATGGCTGTTTTGTGGCATGTTGCTGTGCGCAGATTGGCTGCCAGGTTCACCCACAAAATAGTCACTCCACTTTGCAGAATATCCTGTGAAGTGCTTTGAGACGTCTCCCTTTATTTTGGTAGTTTTTCTATTTTTTTAAAAAGGTAAAGGTGAAAGGATTCTGATTGAGACTAAACCATGTGCTTTTAGTGGACATCTTTGCAACAATTATTACAGAGTAAATCTCATATTAGTTGTATCAGTTGGGATCAAACATTTACAACAACATTTAATAAGACTTATGCAAAGTATCATAGTTGTACCAAACTTGCATAGAATATAAACTTTTGAACAGGACGTGGGCAATTGTCGATTTAGGAGATTAGACGATTTATACAAATCAGATTTACGCAAGTTTTACTGTTTTGCAGTTTTTGGGGAGATTACATTTTCCCTTCCTCTTGCCCACCTCATATAATTCTGAAAGATTTTTTAAAAATTAGTTGCTTGCGAGCAAAATGAGGTGTTTAATACAACTGAACCTGATGGAGGTTTTTGCTGTAACTCAGCACTGAAAGATTTTTAGCTCCATCTGCTGTTCAATATTGTCTAGTACATGAATTTTGTTGAAATAATAATCGTTGCATTTGCTCGAAATAACGCCTTATAACATTTTTAAACTTCTCAAATGTCTCCATGTAATGTGTTAATTAACGTGGCAGACAATTTGCACAAAGCAACATCCCATGAACGGCCATGAAGCGCATGACCAATTTTCTGTGGGGACATTGTTGGTTAGGAGATGAGGAGAGCCCCCACTTTTTAAATGGTAATGTCTTCCTGAACAGATCCACAGATCGGCCCTCAGTTTAACATCTCCAAAAAACAGTGCCTCCCACAATGCTGCGCTCCCCCGGCATTAAATGGGAGTGTACGCTAATTTGTGACCTCCAAGTCCTGAGGTGGGGCTTGAACCCCAAACTTTCTGTGTCAGATGTGAGAATGCACAAACTAAGCCAGGCTGAGACCCCTAAAACTCTCCGAACCCGTACGCAACCTGGGCGTCAGGTTCGACCCCCAATTATCCTTCCTCCCCCACATCCGGTCCCTCACCAGCACCGCTTTCTTCCACCTCCGACACATCGCCCGTCTCCGACAATACCTCACCCCAAAAGCCGCTGAAACTCTGGTCCGTTTGCCTTTGTCACCTCTCGCTGGACTACTCTAACGCCCTCATCGCCGGCCTCCCCTCCACTGCCATCCATAAAATCCAAATCATTCAGAACTCTACTGCCCACATTCTCACCCGCGCGAACCTCCGCTCCCCGATCCCCCCAGTCCTGGCTCCCCCGTCCTCCCCCACCCCAAACCCCTCTCCCCGATCCCCCCAGTCCTGGCTCCCCACCCCCAAACCCCTCTCCCCGATCCCCCCCAGTCCTGACCCTCCCGCCCCACCCCCAAACCCCTCTCCCCGATCCCCCCAGTCCTGGCCCTCCCCCCCACCCCCAAACCCCTCTCCACGATCCCCCCCAGTCCTAGCTCTCCCCGATCCCCCCCAGTCCTGGCCAGACTGCACTGGCTCCTGTCCCAAAGAGGATCCACTTCAAGATCTTCACTCTTATATTGAAATCCCTCCACTCCTCTGCACCCCCCGACCTCTCTGATCTCTCAACAGTGTCTGTTGCCTTCATTCCTCCGGGTCTGGACTCCTCCTCATCCTCCCCTCCCCCCTCGGCGGCTGTGCCTTCAGCCACTGTGCCCCGAGGCTCTGGAACTGCCTTCCTCATTCCCTTCGTCTCGTCCCCTCTCTTCCCATTTTCAGGTCTCTGCTGAATACCTTTCTTTTCGACCGCACCTTTGGTCACCTTCCCCCCCCCTCCCCCCCTCCCCGGCTCCTCCCCCCCCCCCCCTCCCCGGCTCCTCCCCCCTGGCTCCTCCCCGGCTCCTCCCCCTCGGCTCCTCCCCCTCCCCCTGGTTCCTCCCCTTCCCCCTGGCTCGGCCCTGGGATCCGTTACTGTAAAGCGCTCTGAGACCCCGTCCGGCATGGAGGGCGCTATATAACCCAAGTTGTTGTTGTTGTACAACCTTGGCGCAGGTTTGTAGCATCTGTTGGAGTTAGAGACAAGAGATGGATCTTAGTTGTTTTTTAAATCTGGTCACTCGATCCACGGCTCTTTATGGGACACTGCTGTGCACAATTGGCTGTTGCATTTCACCCAGAAAATAAATAGTCTTCACAACACTTTACAATGTATTCTGTGAAGCACTTTGAGACGTGTCGATGAGGTGATAGGGCACTATATCAAATGCAAGGATTATTATTATACTGAAATGGCTGCTAAACTTAATTTAAATGGATTAGATCACTTTTCTTTGCAGCTGGGATTTTTCAAACCCTCTGTGCATTCTTACTTGTGCACACCACTTTCAGTGGGCTGAGATACAGAATGTTTTATGATCCTGCCCCCCCATTGCCTGCTGTAAGGCAGGTATAGTTTGCTGGTAGAAAACCTCAATCCCATCTTAAGCCACACTCCCAACAACTGGATATGTAATTGGAAGTCATTAGTTATTGTCAGACATTTGGCAAGTAACACCCAAGCGCTCTACCCATTGAACATTAAATTATTAAAAATTAAATTATAAAAAAAGAATTAAACACTAAACTCAATCTACGACTGTTTGTGGGACGCTGCTGTGCGCAATTGGCTGCTGCGTTTTGCCCACAAATATACAGTCAATTCACTTTACGGTCTATTCTGTGAAGCGCTTTGAGACGTTTAGAAGATGTGAAAAGCGCTTTATCAAATGCAAGGATTATTATTGTTATTGAGGGCTGAGACTTGGGTTGTGCATCATTATAAGGACAAAAGGATGAATCTCTTAAGTTCAGCACCATAGAACACAAATGATAATAATAATCTTTGCATTTGATACAGCTTTATCACATCATTGAGACGTTTCAAAGGGCTTCACAGAATGTATTGTAAAATGGATTGACTATTTTCAAGCGTTCCGGGATGCTATATGAAGGGTGTGAAGGGTGCTATATAAATGCAAATTGTTGTTATATTTTGTGGGTAAAATACACAGATAATCCTGGTTACTGATAAAGATCTGCATTCTGGTTACCAAGCACAGTAGTTGAAAACGCTTTAGAGGGTCACGATATATCTATCCTCTTATATACTATTGATATCTCAAATGCCTCTGGTTTCTCAGCATGTCTCACGCTCTTTCATTCCTACCTCAGATTGTTGGCGTCTGCACAGAAGAACTTCAAGCAGCGCAACAGTGGAATGGGCAAGGGATCCTGGAGCTCTTGCGGACAGTCCCTGTGTAAGTGGTGCAAGCTTCACATCCTCCCTTTAGCAGCAGTATTTACTGAAAGAAAGGAAGTGGCTTATTAGATACCTTTTGAGGTACCAGTTCAGCAAGACAAGTTCTGTTGGCCGAAGGGGAACCATTTCTAGACTATATGCCTGGCTTTCTTACTCCTCTTTCCCCACTCACCCCTTTTGATGGCTTGGTGGAAGGCACAGCCTGTGGTAGCAGTTATGCTGGTTTGATTTCTTTGCTGAGTTAGCTGATCTCTGGAGGTCTGACTGTAGGACTTTGTACCCGTCGGCTAGGATACGGCAATACAGTGTTGCTCCAAATTAAATTAATGATGAGCTGTGTAAGGTTGGAGTGCAGAGATCCATCAGTGAAGCTAGGATCAGAGCAGACAGACACAATGTGCTGTAAACTGTACCTATGGTGAGGGAGTTAATAATAATAATAATCCTTGCATTTGATATATGCAAATGGAGGTGTAATCCGCCTCCCCCCGCCCCAGCCTGTATGCAGTGATGGGACCTGGGCTCAAGTCAGCTGTCACTGTATCCAAATCAAGCAGGTGCAGGGTTCAAAACTGATGTGTGCAACATTTGGTATGTATATGTGCACTTCATCTGAAGTCTGTGTTCTCAAAGGACATCATTAACCTTTTCAAATATCTGCTTTTAAGCAAGAAAGCTTCTAGGCCTACAACAATTGCAGACAGTTCTCCTGTTCTCAGTCTATTTCAAAATATAAATTATTGGTCTTGGCTATGAAACCGGCTGCCACTGGATTTGGTCATGTTATTCCTTCTCTCCATGCCCACTGCATCCATGTCTGCAGTCTCTCTTCCCAACCATGTCTGCAGTCTGTCTATGATTACAGTGGTGAGACATCACCTTGTTGACGAGTATCAACAAGATAATAATAATCCCTCCAAAAAAACAAAAAAACAATAATAAAAAAAAAATTGGGTCATTTTCAATCTACGACTGTTTGTGGGACATTGCTGTGTGCAATTGGCTGCCGCGTTCGCCCACAAATATACAGTCAATTCACTTTACAGTGTGTTCTGTGAAGCGCTTTGGGACGTCCTCCCGACGTGAAAAGCGCTATATCAAATGCAAGGATTATTATTATTATTATTATATAGCGCTTTTCGCGTCTTCTCGACATCTTAAAGTGCTAGACTGTAAAGTGAATTGACTGTATATTTGTGGAGTTAGTTTGCAAATTGGTGAAATGAAGTGTTTTGACTCTGGATGTGATGAAGGAACTCGCATACCGAAGGAATAAAGTTATAAATAACTGCCGATGTTCTATGTCCCCCTACAGAGCAGGCGGCCATTGGCTAATCACGGATATGAGGAGAGGGGAGACGATATTTGAAAGCGATCCACATTTACAGGTAATGTCTGATATTCCTCCCTCCCCACTCCTCTTCCCCCCCCCCCATCCAAAGGCAACTCAACAGTGAAGTACCTCCCAATTGAAGGTTTTGTTTCCAAGTTATAGCTCACTCTTCAAATATAATTGTGCTCAGGAGAACTTCTCCTTGTGATAGCTATTTAAGGAGTTGTGGTTAGACAAGGTGACTCAAATGAAGAAAAACACCCGTGGAGACTTGAAAGACAGAGCCATATGGTGAATTGCTGGTCCCAGCTGTGTCCCTACCAGTTGCATGTTTGATCCCAACACTGCACAAATCTGCCTTTATAAATTATTCTTAAGTAGCATCCCTGCTATTCTTGTGTCAATAAGACAATAGTAAAATCTTTACTAAAACTATTTTTTCTGAAAATGTTCCTTATGTTGGCTTGGCTCTTGCCAACCTATGTCTAATACTTTCCGGAATAAGTTAAGCAGGATGTGTCCCTCCAGGCAGAGAGAGCGCATTCCATTCCAACAATCTATCTCTGGCATTTCCACGTGTAGGTGGGAGGCCTGGAATTCTCACTTGTTTGGATACTCTTAAGCAATGGTGGTGGATTTCAAGATCCTCATCTTCACCTACAAGGCCATTCACGGCCTTGCTCCCTCCTACCTCTCCAACCTACTATTCCCCTACCTACCTGCCCGTACCCTCCGTTCCTCTGGCTCCGGTCTGCTCCACGTCCCCCGCCCCAACCGCCCTACCATCGGTGGTCGGGCCTTCAGCCTCTCAGCCCCCAGGCTCTGGAACTCTATCCCCCAATGCCTTCGCCTTGCTTCCTCCCTTTCCTCCTTCAAGGCCGGTCTCAAAACCTTTCTCTTTGACCGTGCCTTCAGCTCCCCTCTCGACTCTCTTCCCCCTCCTCGCTCCCTCCCTTCCCTCCCCTCACCCTGACCATTTCCCCCCTCCTCGCTCCCTCCCTTCCCTCCCCTCACCCTGACCATTTCCCCCCTGCTCGGGTCATGACCCAACTGTGCAGCGCCTTGGGACGTCCTCCTGACGTGAAAGGCGCTTTATAAATGGAATCTGGTTGTTGTTGTTGTTTCCACAACTCTAAGGGTAACCATTATTTGGATAAAATACTGATTCTGCGTAGAAAATGATCTATTTGAAATATAAAACTCTAATGGGTAACCAGTAACTTTATAGGACCATTGCTTTGCAATCAATCATCTGACTTAATACCAAGCATCATAATATTCATGCAACTGACATTATTGCTCTATTCAAAGAGCCGTTTGGCCATTTGGCCCATCGAGTTTATGCCGGCTCTTTGAATAGAGCAATAATGTCAGTTCTTGCATAAGTTTGAAACCGGATGCAGTTTACCCTCTTTTTATTTGATGAAATGGGCTTGATATTCTTGTGCCCAGGAAAGAGTGGACAAAGGCATCGAGACTGACGGGTCTAACCTGAGTGGTGTGAGCGCCAAGTGTGCCTGGGAGGACCTGAGCCACCCCCCCGAGGATGAGGACGACAGCAGGAGTATATACCTCGAGATGCAGCCTCGTCGCTTGTCGGATAAAGGTAAAAGCGTGGGATACCTTGGTTCTCCTGGAGCAGGGCATCACCACTGTGCTACTTTGGTCAACAGCATTCTGGTCCTGATAGCTATCCAGTCAGTGGCTTCCAGGGAAATCCACATAACCCAGAACTCCCTATATACACACTTACATAGATAGACTTTATTAGATTGTGGCAATTCTTTAATCCCATCTCTTCTCTACACAAAGGAACTGGATAATTTAGAACCCTCCCTCAGCTCAGTGTCGTGCTCCGCCACTGTCAAATGCTCTGAGATGCTACCTTGCGTGAAAAGTGCTGTGTAAATGCAAGTTGTTAATACCCTTATGTATGTGTCTCCCTTTTAAGCATCCCATTTCCTTCTGCCTCTGTGTGTTAGGGAGGGGCAAACTGTTTAATTTGTGAGAGGAAGATGGTAATTAGTGAGACCCGGATCTTAGCTGATCCTTGTACAAATCGTTCGGCACAAACTGGAGAAGCCAATTCTCTCTAAACTCCCTCTCTACGAAGGGACTGGATAATGAAACTGTTTTATCTTGTCCAGAACAGTAGAATCAGAGGACATGGTCTGTGATTGAAAGGGGCTAAATTTGAAACATCTCCGGAAACACTATTTCAGTGAGTGAGTAGTAAATGCATGGAACAGGCTCCCTAGGGAGATTTTGGAAGCAGAAAGTGCTGATACTTTCAAAAGCAAATTAGATTTCTGATCAGAAATAATATAGAATTGTAGAATTATACAGTACAGAAGGAGGACATTCGGCCCATCAAGTCTGTACCGGCTCTTTGAAAAGAACTTCCAAATCCACCCCACTCCTCCTCATAGCCCTGCAGACTTGTGCTTCCCAAATAATTATCTACTTCGCTCTTAAAAGTTGTTATCGAATTGGCTTCCACCAGCCTTTCAGGCAATGCATTCCAGATCCCAACAACTCGCTGTGTGGAAAAATTTCTCCTCAACTCGTCTCTGTTTCTTTGAACAACTATTTAAAGTCGGTGTCCTGGGGTTACCGACCACCCCCCCCCCCCCCAGTGGGAATAGTTTCTCCTTGTTCACCCTATCAAATCCCCTCTTAATTTTGAAAACTTCTATTAACCTTCTCTGCTCCAAAGAGAATAATCCTCGCTTCTCGAGCCTCCCTGATAACTGAAGCCCCTCATCTGGTACCATCCGGGTCAATCTCCTTTGCTCCCTCTCCAATGCCTTGACATCCTTCCTAACGTGTGGGGCCCAGAACTGAACACAGTCTCTCGCTGAGGCCTAACCAGTGTTTTATATAAAGGTTCATCATAACTTCCTGACTGTTGTACTCTATGCCCCTATTTATAAAGCCTGGTATCCGTAGGCTTTTTAACAGCTTTATCTGCCTGTCCGGCCACCTTCAAATATTTACTATATGACCCCCAGGTCTCTATCCCTTCACCCCCTTTAAGATTGTACCATCAGCTTTTATTGCCTCTCCTCATTCTTCCTTCCAAAATGCATCACTTCGTATTTCTCCACATTAAACTTCATCTGCCCCGTGTCTGCCCGTGTTACCGGTCTGTCTGTGTCCCCTTGAGATCTGCTACTATCCTCCTCACTGTTTGCTAGTTTTCCCAGTTTAGTATCATCTGCAAACTTGGAGATTGTCCTCCCTGTACCCAAGTCCAGGACATTTATATAGATCACAAACAGCAGTGGTCCCAATACCGATCCCTGGGGGACACCACTGCAACTTCCCTCCAGTCAGAAAAACAACCGTTCACCACCACTCTCTGCTTTCTGTCTCCCAGACAGTTCTGTATCCGCTGCCACTGTGTCCCTTTAATACCGTGGGCTTCTATTTTGCTGACAAGTCTCTGTGTGGCAAACCCCTTTTGAAAGTCCACATATATATGTGTGTGTGTGTGTGTATATATATATATATATATATATATAAAAACGACATCGACTGCACTATCTTCATCCACCCTCTCCGTTACTTCATCAAAAAACTGTATCAGGTTTGCTAGATATAATTTGCCTTTAACAAATCCGAGGGATGCAGTATATAGTTTGGGGAAATCTGGGGATACAGTATATAGTTTGAGTCATGACATGTGCGAGCGTCTGCCAGGATGGTGGGAAGGCGGACTGGATGGTCCTTGGTCTTCTTTTGTCTAACAATTCTTATGGTCTTATGTAAACTTAACGAGCAAGTGAAGTGAGATCTTTCTCTGATTTCAGACACGGAGCAAATCCGAGAGGTCTTGCGCAGAGGCCTTGAAATGAACACCAAACCAGTTTTACCACCGATCAGTTCTCAGAAACCACAGCAACACAACGGAATGAACCACGACCGGGCACAGTAAGTCTTTGCACTATTAAATTGATTTGACTGGATTCTGGTCTTTGAGTCGGACTTTGTTAGTGAGCACTGACCATCAATTGAGTTGAACTGCTCCTAATGGTGTTTCTCACTATAAAACCACAATAGAAAACATGACAAGTGTAGCATAGCTTGGAAGAATTAGGCACTTTGCTTCTACAGTTCCCAAAGCTTTCCACTGTGATGGTAGACTGGGAGCTATACAAATGCAAGTAGTAGTTGTTGCGAACTAGCAATTCCTATGTTCCTAATAACAAAGTTAGCTGTAGCTAGTGAACACTGCAGATCTCAGTTTGATTGCAACATCCCTTTGACATTCCTCAGTCCTAATTCTGCATAGTAGTCTATTTCTCTTCTCCCCACCCAACCCCCCCTCTCTTTATAGTTATGGCTTTAGACAGGTATGAGAAGTCGTTGTTAATGGTGTATTTTTTTTAATTACTTTGGGATTACTTAGAGATTTAGGAACGGGAGGCTGTGTGGTTCAAATTGTCTGCCACAAACCATTCTGTGGCAAATATGCACTTAATTCTTCAATTATAAAGGCAAATTAAAAATCCTGCCACACAATTCAGAAAGAAAAGCATGATCAAAGCAAATCTAAGCAATGCAAACGCAGAACTAGTTACATCTTGTTGAGCAATGTGTTCTGCATCGGGGAAGCTGTGGATTCATGAACAACAATCTTCCAGATAAACTAATCATCCATCTATGGGCTCATGCTGGTTTGTAGAACCTTGCTGTGTGCAAACTATTTGCATCATTTCCCTACAAATACATGGCCACTTGACAAACCTCCGTGATGTGGGAATGAAAGTTCAGCAAGCTCTATACTTGACAGTGATTACTGTTTTGAGATGTTTGAAGTAACAAGATGCTAGAAAAATACCTACAACAACAACTTGCACTTATATAGTGGCCCTCATGCAAGGTAGTGTCCCAGAGCGCTTGATAGTGTTGGAGCCAGGGGTAGGTGACTGTAGGCACAGTTGAAGAGGAAGATCTCCAGGCACGACCTGAAGATGGGGGAGGAAGGGGCAAGGCAGAGGGAGGGAAATAGTGTTCCAGAGTTTTGGGGCGTAGTGGCTGAAAGAGATGCTGTAAGGAATTCAGATGTAAAACTGGTCTTGCTGAATGCGAATTGCTGAAATGTGCATGAAGAGAGCTGTGGATTGTCCTGCCCTGTGTCAAGATCATCTCCCTCTCTTCCTGCCCCCCCTCTCACAAACCCCCCACCATCTTTTTCCGACCTTGGAAAAAGCTTCCACCTGAGTCCCTCACCAACGTCCTCTCTTCCTCAGATCTCTTCTCTCTCTTGACTTCCACACGCAGCAATCCTGATGCAGCCGTCAAACTACTGAACGATCACCTCTTTGCAGCCCTCAACTCCCTTAGCCCCTGAAATCCAGGTCTGTCTCCAAATCTACCCGCTCCCCCGGTATAACAGTCTCCTCCGCTCCCTCAATACTAAAACCATGACACTCGAGTGCAGATGGCACAAGTCACCCTCACAATCCACCACCAGCTGTGGCTCGAGAGTCTCCGTAACTACCGTCTCTCCCTCTTGCCACCAACACTGCCTTTTACTCCAAAACCATTTTGAAGGCCAAAAACAACTCAAAAGCAATGTTCTCCACCATCTTTCATCTCAGCCCCCACCCAGCTACCTCCACCAAGATTGAAAATATTGGCGGCTGCATCCTCCTCCCCTTCATACCCTTCCACCCCACCCAGACCATCTGCACCACCCCCTCTTTCCACCACAGCCCTTACTACGTCCCCCTCCCTACACTCCTTTGCCCCGATTACTCCCACCTCCCTCTCAACCACCATCTCCCAGATGAAGCCCATCACCTGCCTCGGCCCCTTCCCCACCCAGCGCTAGTCACACAGCTCCCCCTCCTCTCCCCTCTGCTGGCCGACATGGTCATCCAGTCTCTCTCCTCAGGTTCTGTTCCTCTCCCGCTTAAAACTGCTGCCAGCACACCTCTCCTCAAAAAAACCACCCTTGATCCCTCTAGTCTCTCACACTACGGACCCATTTCCTACCTGCCCTTCCTGGCCAAAACTCTGGAACGCATTGTCGCTAACCAGCTTTGCTCCCACCTCTCCCTCCTCAAGCCCCTCCAGTCTGTCTTCCTCCACCTCTGCCCCCGACCATACCTTACCCCAGACATAGCCGAAACACTCGTCCATGTGTTCGTCGCCTCCCAACTGGAGTTCTCACAAGCCCTCTTTGTCAGTCTCCCTCTCTTCAGCTTACACAAGATCCAGCTGATCCAAAACTAGCATACTCAACCACACTAAACTCCATCCCCCCATCGCACCAGCTCTAGCCAGGCTCCACTGGCTCCCTATCACCGAACAGGTTGATTTCAAGATCCTCACGCTCGTTTTCAAATCCCTTCATGCCCTGGCACTTCCCTACCTCTCTAACTTGCTTACCGCCCAACTCATTGCCTCCACTCGACCAGCTCTGGTCTCCTGCTTGTCCCTCGTGCCCTCTGTTGGTGGTGATGACCGCGATTTCAGCCACTCCGCCTCTGGAACACCCTTCCTCTATCCCTCCACCTTGCCCCTTCCTTCTCCATCTTTAGGTTGCACCGAAGAACTTCCTATTTGACCGTGCCTACGGTTACTTACACCCTCCTCCCGGTTCGGTGTTGTGCTGCTCCCCCATTGTCACTGTGTGGGGGCTCTGTGTGACGGGCGCTGTGTAAATGCAAGTTGTGTCCAGCCCTATTTCTCCAGATCTTTTTTGTGCTCCCAGCAACCATGAGGATCAATATCCTTCGTATCCCATAAGCATTCCTCAGCAAATGTTTGGCAAAAGTGTGCTCATCGGTTAAGGTGGCTGATGAGCAACAGTAATCTGCCCTCCGGGCCCCAAAATTCTATGACTACTGGTCTGGGCCTTTGTTTGGATGTCCATCCAAGAAGCTGCCGTGGTTGAGCCTGTGGGTTCAGCCCACTAGATGGCAGCAGACATGGGGTGCTGGCTTGCCTTGTTGGACTCTGTTGATCCTCTCCAGCTGTACAGAACACATTGCTGGCACAGCTTAGTTGGCTACAAAGCGGTCACTATAAGAATAAATAACTCTGATTTTATTTTGACTCATTAACATGCTATGAAATGGAAGTACCCTCACAATACCCTCTCATTGTGGCACTGAAGGATTGATGATAATAATAATAATCCTTGCATTTGATTATTAAATGACATCTCAAGCACTGAACAGAATAAATTGTAAAGTGAGTTGATTGTATATTTTGTGGGCGAAACATGCCAGCCAATTACACACAGCAGTCTCCCACAAACAGTCATGGATTGAGTGACCAATTTTTTTTAAAAAGGGGATTATTCCCCACGGAAGGCAATCACCCAATCAACTAACAACTGGGTTCCTATTTACTGCTTGGTAAAAAGAGGTGTGTGGAGTAAGGAAATTTGCCTAAACTTTCTCCCTGATAGGGGAATCAAACCCAGGTCCTCTCACTTGCTTGCGAGGTGAGTGCTCTAACCACTACAGGACTGGTTGCGTATGATGCAACACTCTTTTCCAGTTTGCACAGATGCCTAACCTGTGGTGTAATCGCTGTTTATCTGCTGGATCTCGATTGCGCTTTGATTTACAGAAATGGGGTGAAATAGCCTTGGATGTGGTTTTGCATAGTTTGGGTTCAGTGTTGAACAATTCTAGCTGCCAGGCAGTTCACTGGACAGCAATTACTAATTAAAATAATTCTTGTATTTATAGAGCCAAACGTCAGTATTTCTCAAAGCGCATCGCAGGAAATTGCTGTCAAGTGTAGTGACTGTACTTATGGGCAAATGTGGCAGCCAATTTGCACACAGTTATATTTCTCAAACAACCAATTTATCAGGAGTATATGAGGCCAGGAGACCTGCGGGAGGGAGGATTCCTTGCTCTTTTTGAATAGTGTTCAACAGTGCTGTAGGATCCTCCACTCCTCCAGGCAGGTGGGACCTTAGTTTAATGTTCACCTGATAGTGCAGCTGCAGCACTCCGCTAGCACTGCAGCCTAATGGGCCGCAGGCTGTGAGTTCATAGTAATGGGCAAAATGACAATTATTATATCTGGCAAACAATCCAACATTTAAATCCTGAGCTGTAACCCAAATCTTTTCAACTACACAGAATATTAAAAGACTTGTAGATGTTGCTAGGGGTGTGTTTGTGTGTTAGCGTGTGTGCACATGCCCTATGGATTTTAAATGCTTTTAAATTCCGTTCAATGACGGGAGGGAGGGAGAACATAGAAAAAAAATCTTTGCATTTGATTTTTGCAGCAGGAAATTTGCTACGTACTGTAGGTGGCTTCACCACTGTACCCTAACTCTGTAGAAATAAATTGCAGTCAGCCTTAAAAGCTGTTTAGTATAATAATGACCTCAATTAACCAGAGTGAGCGTGTCCCACTCAACAATCAATCCTTTTGATGCACTTCAGATATTCATACAATCAGAATTTTGCTGTATCATTGTGCCTCCACTGGCTCCTTGTATATTTATATTTTTGTCTCACTTTCCCTATTACCCTCTTATATTTTCCTTCTCAAGTATTGGCCCTAATCTCTTTTAAAAGCTATCACTAATAATAATAATCCTTGCATTTGATATAGCACCTTATCACATCATTGAGATGTCTCAAAGCGCTTCATAGATTGTATTATAAAGTGAATTGACTGTATATTTTGTGGTAAAATGTGTCCCAACTGAAGGCACTGTTTTTGTTGGGCATTTTATGTCCAGGTAATCAGTGCACTTAAAAAAAATTCTCCTAAACTACTGCTTTGTCATTTTTCAGTAACTATTCTTAAATTTATTCCTTTTATTGAATATTGCAGTGTTCATGCCTTTGATGTGTTACTCCCCTGTACAAAAAGGGGCAGAAAGATGAACCAGGAACTACAGGCCAGTCAGCCTAATGTCAGTAGTGGGGAAATTTCTAGAGACTATAATTCAGGACAAAGTGGGTTCAATTCCAGGCGGGGCGATACCTTGGGCAGGTTTCCTTACCCCACACGCCTAATAATAATCCCTCTAAAAAAATTTTTAAAAAGCAATTATAAATTGGTCATTTTCAATCCACGACTGTTTGTGGGACACTGTGCGCAATTGGCTGCTGCATTTCGCCCACAAATATACAGTCAATTCACTTTACAGTATATTCTGTGAAGCGCTTTGAGATGTCTCAAAAACATGAAAAGCGCTATATCAAAGGTAAGGATTATTATTATTATAAAATAAATTTCCACTTAGAAAAATATGTAGTTGATGTAGTTTATATGAATTTTCAAAATGCGTTTTTATAAAGTGCCACATAAGTGGAGTCCTGTAGCTCAGTGATTAGAGCACTCGCTTTGCAAGTGAGACACCTGCAATTCCAGGCAGGTCAGGGCGAAACCTTGGGCAAGTTTCCTTACTCCACACAGAGCCTAATAATAATCCCTCCAAAGCAATACAATAATAAATTGGTCATTTTCAATCCACGACTGTTTGTGGGACATTGCTGTGCGCAATTGGCTGTCGCGTTTCGCCCACAAATATACAGTCAATTCACTTTATAGTCTATTCTGTGAAGCGCTTTGAGACGTCGAGAAGACGTGAAAAGCGCTATATCAAATCCAAAGATTATTATTATTATAAGGGATTTTTAAGCAAAATAGAAGCCCACGGTATTAAAGGGACAGTGGCAGTGGATACAGAACTGTCTGGGAGACAGAGAGCAGAGAGGGTGATGAACGGTTGTTTTTCTGACTGGAGGGAAGTTGCAGTGGTGTCCCCCAGGGATCGGTATTGGGACCACTGCTGTTTTTGATCTATATAATTGACCTGGACTTGGGTACAGGGTGGACAATTTCCAAGTTTGCAGATGATTTCCAAGTTTATATTGCAGAGGCAATATAAGCTGATGGTACAATATTAAAGGGGGTGAGGGAACAGAGAGACCTGGGGGTTCATTTAGTAATTCTTTGAAGGTGGCAGGACAGGTAAAGCTGTTTAAAAAAAATGTTTACGGGATACTTGGCTTTATAAATAGGGGCATAGAATACAAAAGACAGGAAGTTATGATGAACTTTTATAGAACACTGGTTAGGCCTCAGCGAGAGACTGTGTTCAGTTCTGGGCCCCACACGTTAGAAAGGATGTCAAGGCATTGGAGAGGGTGCAAAGGAGATTGACCAGGATGGTACCAGGAATGAGGGGCTTCAGTTATCAGGAGAGGCTCGAGAAGCTGGGATTATTCTCCTTGGAGCAGAGTAGGTTAAGAGGAGACTTGATAGGAGTTTTCAAAATGATGAGGGGACTCGATAGGGTGAACAAGGAGAAACTATTCCCACTGGCGGGTGGGTCGGTAACCCCAGGACACCGAGTTAAAATAGCTGTTAAAAGAAACAGAAGGGAGGTGAGGAGAAATGTTTTCACACAGCGAGTTGTTGGGATCTGGAATGCAGTGCCTGAAAGCTGGGGGAAGCTGATTCCATAACAACTTTTAAGAGCGAAGTAGATAATTATTTGGGGAGGACAAGTTTGCAGGGCTATGGGGAGAGAGCGGAGGAGTGGGGTTGATCAGGGCTATGGGGAGAGAGCGGGTGAGTGGGGTTGATCAGGGCTTTGGGGAGAGAGCGGGGGAGTGGGGTTGATCAGGGCTATGGGGAGAGAGCGGGGGAGTGGGGTTGATCAGGGCTATGGGGAGAGAGCGGGGGAGTGGGGTTGATTTGGAAGCTCTTTTCAAAGAGCGGCACAGACACCATGGGCCGAATGGTCTCCTTCTGTGCTGTATAATTCTATTTCCTGATTTGGAGTCTACCTGTATTCCCCATATTGCATTTGTTATTTTTAATAAATAAAACTGCATAGACCTTTTTTGTGTTTTTTCAGAAATTAAGCCTCATTGGCTAAATTGCAATTGTCTTAAGGAAAGAAAAAATAGTTTAATTCTTAATATTGTTGAGGGCTTTTCCAAAATTTACAAAAAGCTAAACTCGAAAGTCGGGGATTTTTCCCTTAAAATCAGAGTCCAACTAGCAGCCCATGGGTCGATTTCATCCCCCCACCTCCTCCATTTCATCTGGTCCAGCCGTTCGCTTCATACCCGTAAAGGTTGTTATGTTTCTGGGAAATACAGAAATACTGCTTATGTGAACGGTGCACACTTCCCAAATAGGGCATCCGGCCCTCAGCAGCAAAAAGGTTGGACCATTCTGCATAGATCAAAAGCTTTGTGATGTTTGTAAATCTCAACTGTAGTTGCTGTTTATAACCTGACTGACTGTGGTATCTTTTGTACAAATCTACCCCTAATTTCTCCATAGACAAGTGCAATCAGTGGGCCATTTCCAGAGCAAGCAGACTGAAAGGTAAGAACATACTGATTCATGCCCCCCCCCCCCCACCGTGTGGTGTCATTGGGTTTGCCTGGCCACTTGGCACCTCTAGCAAAAAATGCTTGTCTCTCGCTTCTGTATAAAGTGTAATCCAAAGTCTTATTCTTACCTAAGTTCTGCATTGCTCAAGCAACAGAGCCCTCGACACTGTGGTAGGGCCAGTCAACCTATGGTGTTGGTGTTTACGTCTCCAGTTGAAGACATCTTTTCTCATCCTATAGCAACAATTTGCTCATGCCCCTCATGTAGACAGCTTCTCAGAGCACTTGACAGGGACAGGGTTGGTCGCTGACGGGGGGGTGGGGGGGGTAGCATTTGAGGCAGAATTTAAGGTAAAAACAAAAGGAATGAGACTGAGTAGTGGAGGGAAGGAGTTCCAGAGATTAGAGGAATAATCTTAATCTCACTCCTCTTTCCCTATACTCTCTTATGCATGTTTCTCTCTTTCCTTTTGAAATAATAATCCTTGCATTTGATGTAGCGTCTTATCCCGTAGTTGAGACGTCTCAAAACACTTCACAGGATATACTGTAAAATGAATTGCCCGTTTATTTTGTGGGGAAACGCGACAGCCAATTGCACACAGCAGTGTCTCACAAACAGTCAATGATTGATTGACCAAATTATTACTTTTTTTTGAAGGGTTATTACCCGCGGAAAATGATCTGCCAATTGCCTACTTACTGCTCGGTAGGCTTGTGGAGTAAGCAAATTTGCCTAAATTTTGCCCAGCCTAGGAATTGAACCTGGGTCCTCTCGCTTGTGAGGCAAGTGCTCTATCCACTACACTACAGGACTGTACGCCAATCAGCTCCAGGACCCGCCCTAGTAAAACATCCCATATTCTGAAAGCCTCAAATTGGCCCTAACCTTCCCTATGCATCATTATAAGGCAGCTTAAAATGTGATATGCATTATTTGTGCATTCCAGTGGCATTTAATTATTGACAGCGAGCTTGACAAGTAATGGTGAAAGGATTATCACTCCCTTCCCACCAGAATTTTATGCAGTTCTGGTGCTGTCGTTGTTCTCCGTGGTTCTGCTTTCCAAAACAAAATTGCCTGTAAATGTTGTTTGGCATTTACTGTGTTTGCAAAGCCATCTGATGGGCACCGGCTTCGTGTCTCTGTTGCATAATTTTATATTGACCTTTTTTTTGAAAAGGCATTGCCTGGGTCCCGCATTACTTGGCAATGCTTGCTGGTATTTGAAGTGAAGCCTTTTAAGTGTGAATAGGGAATGAGAGAGCAACATGTCAAGCCAACTCAAAGGGAATTATATGCAAACAATGGCTTTAGCTCCACTCACATTGTTGCAGTAGGAAGTTAAACTGGGCTCTCTGGCCCAAACACAGAGCAATATAAAGGTTGCAGATAATAGACTATTCATGGTATGCTTAACATTCCTTTAGCTGTCACACCCAAAGAGAAGGATCTAGCTTCTGTGGTGACTAGCACAGGGACAAAACAGCTGGTCTAGAGTCTGGTTGCTATCTTTGAAAAGGTATAAAATCAATTTTGGCTCCTTATGGCACATTCTCAAAGTTCCTTATCCGTATGGAAACTTGGCTGTTCCGATGGCTGAGTGGGTTTCACCGTGGATCATAAGAACCATAAGGCTACAGATTGAATTCCTGGTCTGTGCTCAATTAGCTGATCTTGGCGTGGGGCAATGGTTGAAGTGTTGCAATTGATCTTGGTGTGTGGGGGTGGGTGGGAGCTAGCCCTTGTCAGAGATGCCTTCCTGGAAGCTGCACTACTGAGCACATTATCTGCAGGGAAGTGAGTACCTAGTATTTGTGCGTTTGTCTGTAGAAAGGAAAAAGAGTCCAATGTCTTTGGTGAAAAAGAGAGAATCTGTGGATGGGGAAAAAATTTCACATTGCAGAGCATGGACAATTTAATTCAAACTATTCAATGCTGAAACGTTTCATATTAATATTTAATATCTCAGTAATTGAAATCAATACCTTGGCACCTCTTTAAACCCTGCTGCCTATAACCTCAGGAATTGGGTACATCAGTCGACACTGCATCACTGACAGCCTTGGTAGAGATTCATTTTTTTTAGAAAAAAGTGACCCATTTTCTCTCTGTCTGTCTCTCCTCCTGGGATGGTCATGTGTTGGGGTGCTGGTCGCTCTCTGGACCCCCTTAGTGACCATGTGTGAGCCTTGGTTGTGAGTGTCAACCAGCCAGGGCACAGGAGCTGAGCTTGACCTTGACTCACTCAGCTGCATTACCAGGAGAGAGGTTGTAGAGTGACAAGGAGCAGGAACCCTGGGTGGGTTTCTCTTCCTTAACCCAGGGAAAGCCAGGAACAATTTAGCCTTCTCACTCAGCACAGATTTGACCATCAAGCTCCTGATCATAAGTGTAATCCCACCCAAACCATCAGCAGGGCTGCCTATCTGGAGGCCACATTATCAGCTGTAGCCTCTCTAGGATCTGCTGGTACACAAGGGCTCAAACCCTGCTGTCTACTTGTTCCACTCGATATAAAGTAGCTCCTCAGTTTTTTCAATAGCTAAAGTTTTACCCATTCGCTGGTTAGCCATTGGATTAAGGTGATTGGGCCTGTAGTGCCCAGGTTATTCTCTAGTGTTGCTATCTATATAAATGTTTCATTTCCACTCATTGCTTTGTACCAAATCCCAGGTTAAGAGCAGCGAGCAGGACCTCCATTCACATTGACGGCTTGCACAGAAGGTGCACGAGAGCAGTTCTGGTTACTCTGTTGTTTCTCTTCCTTCCACACTTCCTTCTACATGCCTCTTTACTGCTTTCAGGCAATCAGACTAGAGCCCACATCCTCTCGCATCCATCTTTATAGTTTGCACCTTGTGACCAGATTCTCTTGGGATTTTTCCTTCCCAGATTTGCGATAATTTTTTAAAAATTTGGCAGAATGTCGACTGACGATGTGAACAAAATCTGCACAGTGTTCTCCAGTGAACAACCTACACTGAAATCTTCTTACTTTAACCAGTAAATTTAGTTCCTTCCTGGAAGAAATGAACTCTCGCTCCTTGGATTTGACACGTGACTTTTCCTGGTAGCATTGGAAATGAAGCCTCTAGTGTGGAGTTATTCCCCGACTGGAGGCGAAATATCAGATAAAGTTGATGCAGTCATAGCGGCCCCACATTGAAAAGGTTCCTGATTCTACATTTCCACATATCACAGTGTGTTTGACAGGGACCCATCGGGAGCTTCTCTTCTGTTCTTTATCATTGTCTGGCAGATTCCCTGTTAGCAGCTTCAGTACTGACTCGGGAGCACTCTTCCCAAGGAGCTCAGCTGATTTAAAACATTACTCTCTCTCTCTCTCTCTCTCTCGTGCTCTCTCCACTGTTTTTCTGTCCCTTTCCATTCCTGTCATGATCGTGCAACTGGGAGATCAGGCTAGTGCTATTGCCCGTGGTTGCCTGGTGACCACCAGAACAAGAGGTGTCGTTGCCACAGCCGGGTGCAGTTGCTCTGCATTTCATACCGTACGTACAAGATGGGAGTCCTCTGGTGGGGGTAGCCATGGCAATTGACTTACAAATGGTTAGACAGGTGGGGGGTGGGGGGAGAGAGAAAGAGAGAACAGCCATAATGATACCCCTGACTATTCCCTTAAACTGACTATTCCAGTGGACTTGTCTATGATCATTCTCTGTTTAATTCAGATGGTGTCAACTACCTTTCTCTTCTGTAGGTTTGCTTCTGTTATTTGAACATCTGAACACATTTATCCTTCAAGTCACTCCCCACCTTTCTCATCATTTCTTTGTCTTGCTCCCCCACCACACACACACATGCATTATACAATAAATCACAATATTTGTATTTAAGTTTAGAGGGTTGAACAAGATTAAGCATAAAAATAGTGGAGTCAGATCCAGTGTCTAGGATTTTCGTGAAAGTTTGCTCAACCAGGGTAGATGGTTAAATAGTTTTAAAGGAAAAAAGATACAGTATATTCTGTGATGCACTTTGAGACATCTTAACTGGGTTTGCCCCAGAGAGAGTTGGAACTTAGAGTTTCTTCCTACAGCATGTCCTTTCAGACAACTGAAGAGGTCATATTTGATATTGTTGTTGTTTGCCTTAGGAGGGAGGGAGATGGGAGAAAGCCTGATTGTTTAAACATTTGAGGGATCCTTGATAAAACCGCTGACGCATTTAGATTTATGTGGTGCCCTCAAAGCACAATGGATTCATTGATATGAATGGAATCGGGCTCCATATTGATACCATCTTGCCTTGGACTTGAGGAAATGTAGAAACCTCTTGAGTGGGTTTTATCATTTCAGAAATGCTAACTTCTTTATTTTAATAGAAATATTTTGGAATCACAGGAAACAGGACAGAAAGATCCAGCCATAATCACAATTCCCTTCTCTTTCCCATCATCCTTTTGTATCGTTTCTCAACCACTTTTCCAGTCTTCTGTTGGTCATTTATCACTGAACCAGGTTGAACCTTCATGTCTCCAAACAGTAACTGGCTCAGTTTGTAGTTTGACAACTTGTCGGTAGACTGCCAGCTTTCGTTTTTCCTCATGAATTTTTCTTTCTTTCCCAGGAATAGGAAAGACAGTTTGGAGAGTGAAAGTTCAGCCGCAATTGTTCCCCACGAATTGATCCGCACGCGACAGCTGGAGAGCGTCCATCTCAAATTCAACCAGGAGTCTGGGACACTTATTCCCCTCTCGCTCAGGTGAACACTTGTGAGCTTTGTAACTCAACCCAGTGAGTGTGGAGGGGTTTACAAAATGCAGTCTCTGCACTTTACATTATATCCTGGGAAGTGCTTTGAGATATCAAGAGCAGCAGCAAAAACTTGCATTTACACAGCACCTTTCATGTCGGGAGGACGTCCCAAGGCGCTGGACAGTGAGGAGTTTTGCACCCAAGCTGCGGATTGGGATCAGAGAGGGGGTGAAGGGGGGTTAAAGGAAAGAAGGTGACTGAAGGCACAGTTGAAAGATGTGGAAAGCGCTATAACAAATGCATGGATTATTTCTTAAATATCAATCTTTCATAGCTGCTAATAATCCTTGTGTTTATTATAGAGCAAAGGTAATTGAGGTGGCAAGTTTCCTTACCGCACACGCCTCTGGTTACCTAGCAGTAAGTTGTTAGTCAATTGGCAGATCGCTTTTCTGGGGGTAATAATCCCTTCGAATGAAAAAATAATAATAATTTGGTCACTCAATCCACGAATGTTTATGGGATACTGTTGGACGCAATTGGCTGCTGCATTTCACACACAAAGTATACAGTCAATTCTATTACAGTGTATACTGTAAAGTTCTTTGAGACGTTTCAACACATGATAAAGCACTATATCAAATGAAAATGCAAGGATTATAGTGCTAAAGAATGTTTGTTCCTGCAGAGGGAGATTGCTACACGGAAGGCACTTTACGTACAAAAGCATCACAGGAGACACAGCGATCACATTTGTTTCTACTGGAGTCGAAGGAGCTTTTGCTACAGAGGAGCATCCCTACGCAGCTCATGGTCCCTGGCTACAGGTGGGTGGGTGTGTTAGTGCCTCAGCTCTTTGTACACAATCTGTGTGGCAATGATGAGTCAATTGCATGAAAATGATTTGGAAGAAGGAAGTTTTGGGGGTGAGCTGTGCCAGGAATTGTTGAGATAAATTAACTACACAAGGTTTGAAAAGAAAATTCAACTGGTTCAGAACCTGAAAGAAAGAACCAATTCATTCATTACGTCTATACGTATTAGTTAGAGCACTCTTAAGTGAAAGGACCTGGGTTCGATTCCTGGCAGGGCGAAATGTTGGGCAAGTTTCCTTACTCCGCACGACTGTTTACCAAGCAGTAAGTAGGAACTCAGTTGTTAGTCAATTGGCAGATTGCTTTCTGGGAATAATAATCCCTTCAAAAAAATTTTTTTTAATTGATCACTCAATCCATGACTGTTTACGGGACACTGCTGTGCGCAATTAGCTACTGCAAAATACAGTCAATGCACTTTACAGTATCAAAAACAGATCATTGGGAACACTCAACAGGATAGGCAGCATGTATGGAGAAAGAAAAATGGGTCAACGTTTCGGGTCCACAACCCTTCATCAGAACTGGGGGGTGTTGGGAGGGAGAGGTTTTAAGAACTCACAGAGGTGAGAGGCAGGGCAAGAAAGACAAAGGAGAAAATTGTGTGGAGGATAGGGATGATGGGTTAAGAGAGGTGTTAATGATGCAAAACAAAGGAGGGCAGTAGAGGCAGACCAGAGAGAGAAAAGGTGTGTCTGAGACCCAGATGATGAGCTAAAGGTCACAGAAGAGAGGCGAGGGGAAGGTAAGCTGTTCTGGGAGATGGGAAGTTGGGAGCTGTTCTTATGATCTGAAGTGGTTGAACTCAATGTTGAGGCCAGAGAGATATAAGATCCTGAGCAGATAGATGGGGTGCTGTGCTTCATTGGAACAGGGTAGGAGACCATGGATGGAAAGGTCAGAGTGGGAGGGAGAGTTGAAGTGGCAAGAAACCGGAAGCTCAGGGTTGTGCTTGCGGACAGAACGAAGGTGTGTGGCAAATCGGTCACCCAATCTGCGTTTTTCTCCCCAATGTAGAGGAGACCACATCGTGAGCAGCAAATGCAGTAAACTACATTGATGGTAGTACTTGTAAATTGTACCTTCTCTGTTAGTCCTTAAAACCTCTCCCTCCCAACATCCTGCAGTTCTGATGAAGGGTTATGGACCTGAAACGTTGACCCACTTTCCTTTCTCCATAGATGCTGCCTGACCTGTTGAGTCTTCCCAGCGATCTTTGTTTTTGTTTCAGATTTCCAGCATCTGCAGTATTTTGCTTTCCACTTTACAGTATATTCTGTGAAGCACCTTGAGACATCTCAACAACATAAGGAGCATTATATATCAAATGCAAGGATTATTATTATAAATATGCCTTATTAATCGAGGCACAGGAGTACAGAGCAGGAGGGGGTGGGGCGGTGAGGATTGATCTTCGGGCTGTGGCAGGGCAAAGGCAAGCTGGAGGATTTCTGCTTGGGAAGCTGATCTCTTGCCAAATTTTCCAGCTGCTTTTGTTTGGGTGTGACAAGCGATCCAAGGGGGGGGAGGAGCGTGCAAAAGAGAGGGGGAGTGAGTGCAAAGGATTCTATAATTGACAGTCATGCTACTGGGTTCCAACACATGACAGGTTAGCCCAGCGAGGAGAGAAACTGAGGAGGAGCCAGGAATGGAAGAGAGAGAGACACAGTTCCCAAGGAGAAAAGATCATTTGCGTATGTTTTTGACTCCCCATTGGCAGGACATGTATTTCCATGTATCCTTGAGTTGATTGCGTGCAGAGTCCAACTTGAACTGAGTTTTTGGGCGGGGAATTCATTGGCTTAAAAAAAGTTGCAGAAGCTACAAATGAATTGTGAACGGTGCACTTCAGATTCAGCCTTTTCTGCAGGGAGTGGTTAAAGATGTGTTTATGTCCTTCGGCGCTGAGTGCAGACCGGAGCGAGAGAATTTGCTGGGTTTGAAGTCTCTGCTGGTTTCCCCAGTCAGTGTGTTGGCCACCTCACTGGCCAGTTCACAGAACTCTGCTTTTCTGCGTTTTGATCAGCTGCGGTGTGACTGTGCAGCTGCTACTGCATTTCGCAGGATTTGTTGAGCTATTTATGGAATGGGTAGCAGAACATCAGGACTCCTTCCTGGCATTCAGCAGCTGCTTCAGTTGAGAATGGTTAAATACCGTGGCCAACCGAAGAGTAATGGGGGGCAGCAAATGGGAATGATCCCCCAGGCACCCAGCTCATATTACTCTCACCAATACACCACCGAGTCCTGAAGTTCAGTAGTTAGAGCACTTGCCTCACAAGCGAGAGGACCCGGGTTCGATTACCGGGCAGGGCAAAAGCTTAGACGAGTTTCCTTACTCCACACGCCTCTGTTTAACCAGCAGTAAGTAGCAACTTGGTTGTTAGTTGATTGGTGGTTCGCTTTCCGGGGGTAATCTCTACAAATAATAATAATTTGGTCATTCAATCCACGACTGTTTGTGGGACGCTGCTGTGTGCATTTGACTGCCGTGTTTCGTCCACAAAATACACAGTCAATCCACTTTACAGTTTATTCTATGAAGAGCTTTTAGACGTCTCTCGACATGATGAGGCTCTGTATCAAATGCAAGGATTATTATTATTACATCAAATTCCATCCATCACATGTGTTGGGCACGGGAATGTTTTGTTCAGTGCGTGTCACTTTCACTGCGAGGCCAGTTTGTCATTTTGCAAATGTCGCTGACCCCTTGAGGCAGGTTGGGTGTCTGAGTCAGCGCAGTGTGTGAGAGTTTGACCTGCAGTGAATTTATTTTTCACATTTCTTCTGGTCATTTGAGAAGTGGAGAAATCACGGAACTTGGCTTGTGAACACAGCGAATGACATTGGTAGAGACAATAGGTTGGCTTTATGTTTGCAATTACTCGGTCTCAGACCCATGTGCAAAACAACACATTTGTTGGCCACTGAAAACGTCTCCCAAACAGTTGCAAAAGACTTTTGGCATCTTTTGATTTGTGCGTTTCAAGATTAACCAGAAAATTCAATGGTTAAAGCCATTTCTGCCTGGGGGGACTGGGCACCGATGGGGCCAGTTAAATGATGACCATTGACTGTGCTGGATTACGCCACACTGTTGACCGCAACCGTTTGTTGGATGGAGGCGAGGAATCATCGAGTTCCTTTCTGAATTGACGTCAAGTTCTGTTCTATTGCAGTTCACGTCCACCTTTGTGGAGTCCCATAGTGTAGTGGTTAGAGCACTCACCTCGTAAGCAAGAGGACCCAGCTTTGATTCCTGGGCAGGGTGAATTCTTAGGCAAGTTTCCTTACTCCACTTTCCGGAGGTAATAATCCCTTCCAAAAAATAAAAAAAGTCACTCAACCCACGACTGTTTGTGGGACGCTGCTGTGCGCAATTGGCTCAATCACAAAAAATAGTCGATTCACTTTACAGTATATTCTGTGAAGCGCTTTGAGACGTCTAGAAGCCATGATAAGGCGCAGTATCAAATGCAAGGATTATTTTTATAACAGATCAATATGGCTTCATGAAAAGGGCTGCAATGCAAACCTGACAGATTGATGGTGTTTTGAATTTTCAGGATTGTTCCTTGTCTGAATTTTTGTTTAAATTGTTATTGAGGGATATTTCAAGTCCTGTAATTTTTTTTGCTTTGGTGTTGGAGAATTGAAAATATTCCTGCAGGAGATACTAAATGTTTTATCAGCTTGGTTTTTATTTGCATGCGTGGGTTTATCAGTGAGTTGTGTACATTGAATTGGACATGGGTAGGAGGAACATAAAGGAACTGAAAGCAATATGTCTGCTATTAGATATGGAGCTGTCCTAATGATTGTATTTTACCATTAATCCACTCAAATGTATTTAACAATTGAATGTGCCAAAGAGTTCAATGTATGTGCTAGCATTCTTCACTGTTGGGAAATTTCTCTGTTAACCAACCAGCTGTGAATTGCTTTGTAAAGGTATTGCAGTACGTTTTTAGATTTTCCTGGGGCTTTGGGGGAAATTCCAAGGCTTTCAATGATGCTGAAGAAGTGAAATTGTCATGACGTGAATTTTATAAATGCCTTCAATACAAGCAGGAAAGTCCCTGCTATTGGTTCCGAGTGGCTTTACTGTGAACCATCTGCTCCAACAACTGGAGAATGTCATTGTGAGAAGCTCCTATGGCCCTCGGCTTTGTGAAGTTGGCTGCCCAGCCGGATGATCGAGCAATTAACACCTCTTAAAAGAGTTCCCGGGCTGGCCTTTCACACAGAGAAGTTCCGTCAATTTCATTGTGATGACACTTTTGTGGTGCACTTTGTCAACAGCTTATTTGTACGTGCCCCTTTTAAGCAGAGTTGACCCCGCATACACTGTCAAACAGATTGGACTGCAACTGTATCAGTGCCTGGCACTACAGGGCATGCACCACTTTACATTTAAGCTTCCTTACTCCACGCGCCTCTCTTCTCCTAGCAGTAAGTAGGAACATGGTTGTTTAGTCAAATGGCAGATAACTTTTCAGGGGTAACAAATTGTTTAAAAATAGATAATAATTTGGTCACTCAATCAACAACTATTTGTGGGACACTGCTGTGCGCAATTGGCTGCCACATTTCATCCACAGACTATACAATCAATTCACTTTACAGTATATTCTGTGAAGCGCTTTGAGACATCTTGAATACGTATTAAGGTACTGTATCAATTATTATTAAATAAATGTTCACTCTGTCTTCAGATCCTGCTGACTGAGGAGCTGGTGGAAAGGATGTTGGAGGATTTAGAAGGCCTGACCTCTCCAGAAGAAGTAAGGTTCCTCCTCACAAACCTCCTTTTGTTAATGTTTGGCAAGAACTCTCTTTGTCCTGGTAGTTCTTCAACCAGCGCAAAAATTGCTTTTCAGAAAAAGTAGCCACACAATGATAAAAGTAAAGAGGGAGAAACTGTTTCCTCTGGCCGGTGGGTCGGTAACCAAGGGATGTAGATTTAAGATAATTGGCAAAAGAACCAGAAAACTGTTTTTGGCAAAACAGCACAGAAGGAGGTTCTTGTACCGCGGTGCACAGACATGATGGGCCAAATGGCCGCCTCCTGTGCTGTAGGATTCTGTGATACAAGACTCCTGAAATTCATTGTTGTTGCTCTAGCTTTTTCCACTTTGGCAATTTCTCAAATGCATTTGATACGTTGTTTTATCTGCATATTTCCAAATTCCAAATCCAGACGAATGGGGAGGTGGTGACGGGGTGAAGGGGCAGAAATACACTTTTGGTCCTGTTTGCAAATAGCCGACCTCTGATGTCACCGTAAAGAAACAATGGCTGTCTGACAACACTCATTTTTTAAAAATGTGTTGATTTATTTTCTGTACGACTGTCTCACTCTGTCTTTCTGTCTCTCTCTGGCTCTCTCTGTCTCTCTTGCTCTTTCTTCTCTCTCTGCCCCCTTCCTCCAATCCAACAAAGATGCAATCTGGAATCATTTTTCAGCTTTGACAGACTGACTTGAAATAAACCTCCTTTTGTCTCTCTTCTCTCTTGTCTGCTCCTGGCTCCAGGAAAGGACACTTGAGACCCGGCTGGCTGCTGGTCAGCCTTCACGCTGGCTTGAGATTTTATTTCCCCAAATAATACCAGCGAGTCTCTCCAGTGAACAGCTCAGCCATGCAGACCAGGAAGATCTGCTGTTTATTTTTAGTTCAGGTACAGATCAACCATGTTCTAATAGAATGGCAGAACAGGCTCGAGGGGCTAAATGACTTCCTCCTGTTCCTGTGTTTCCAGTCTTTTACCCCCCCCAGTCTATGTTGAGTTGGCTGGTCTCTGCATTGGGTAGGAGTTCATGTTACAATGAAGCCTGTGGTAAGGAAAGGGTTAATCAGCCATGGGTCCAGACCCTGATCACTATCCCATGAAAGATTGTTTTCCTTCTGAAAACATTTCACATTTGGCCATGAACATTTTTATTCAAAGGAAATCTGATTCCGAAGCGTGACTAAAAGAAGCATTTTGGTGTTTTATATCTAGATATTTTTATAAAATTCCCCCTCAGAAAGCCGACCCGGCTGTAACACGTGCTGTAACATGAGCTTCCATCATCCCAGCCCTCAACATACTCCACTGACTCCCAATCACACACTAAACTCCGTCCCCCCCACCAGCCCAGACCAGGCTCCACTGGCTCCCTATTTCCGAACCGATCGACTTCCAGCGCCTTGCGATATCCTCCTGATGTGAAAGGTGCTATACAAACTTGTTGTTGACTTCAAGATCCTCACTTGTCTCCAAATCCCTCCATGCCCTTGCACCTCCCTACCTCTCCAACCTGTTCCGACCCTATTCCACTACCCGTCACGTCTGTTCAAGTGGCTCCGACATCCGGCTTGTCCCTCGTGCCCTCCATTCTACTATCGGCAGCTGCACTTTCAGTCACTCCGGAACTTTCTCTCTCTCAATCCCTCCACCTTGCCCCCTCCTTCTTCATCTTCAGGTTGCACTTGAAGAACTTCCTCTTCAACTGTGCCTCCCCTCCCCCTGGCTCGGCGTCGCACTCCACCACTGTCAAGCGCTCTAGGTGCTACCCTGTGTGAGGGATGCTGTGTAAATGCAAGTTGTTTTTGTTACTTGGCCAGATTCCTGCCCAGGTGCGCCCACATCAGCAGTGACCTGGGAGCCAACCAGTGCCCAGTCTGATTGCATGTGCTGTTATGACACGGGTCTGAGATTAAGGACCCAAACCAGTGCTTTATAATTGGATTTGTGTCAGCTACAGAATCTCTTAACTCTCGCTACGGTCTTTTAAACTAAATTTTGACCTTTTTATAAAATGAATTGTAAGAAACTGGTGAAGGTTTACCAGGTCCTACGGGTCACATCTGTGTTCCCTTGTTATAATCCAAATAGTGGGAAGGAAATAGATGAGCAAATCTGCAAGCCGATTTCAGAGAGATACAAAAACCAATAGAGTAGTGATAATGGGGGACTTCAATTACGTGAACATAGACTGGGAAACACACAGTGTAAAGGGCAAGGAAGGGGAGGAATTCCTGAAATGTGTGCAGGAGAACTTTTTGGATCAGCATGTTTCCAGCCCAATGAGGAGGAAGCAGTGCTGGATTTAGTACTGGGAAATGAAGTGGGGCAAGTGGAGCAGGTTTCAGTAGGAGAGCATCAGGATAACAGTGATCACAATATCATTAGGTTTAGAATAGTTATGGAAAAAGACAACAATCAATCAAAGGTAAAGACCCTCAACTGGAAGTGGGCTAATTTCAGTCTGCTAAAAAGGGACCTGGCCAAGATGGATTGGAAAGAGAGATTGGCAGGTAAGACAGCAAACGAATGGGAAGTCTTCAAGGAGGAGATAGTTCGGGGACAGAGCAAATACATTCCCACAAAGGGAAAACCTCCCTGGATGACAAAGGAAATTGGGGTTAAAAATAAATCAGAAAAAGGAGGCTTATGACAAATGTCAGGTCCAAAACACACAGGATAATCAAATAGAATATAGGAAGTACAGAGGAGAAGTGAAAAGGGAAATAAGAGGGGCAAAGAGATTGTATGAGAAAAGATTAGCAGGAAACATAAAAGGGAACCCTAAGGTGTTTTATAAGCATATAAAGGGTAAAAGGTTAGTCAAAGGTAGGGTGGATCCAATTAGGGACCCATGTGGAAATCTTCTTGTTGAGGCAGAGGGCATGGCTGACGTACTTTGTAACTGTCTTCACAAAAGAACCAATGCCACAATATTGCAGGCGTGTGAAGAGAAATTGGATATGATAAAAATCAATGGAGAGGAGGTACTAAAAAGGCTGTCGGTGCCAACATAGATCCGGGTGACTTATCTATGTTGGCACCTGAGGTAAGCAAGGGTGGAAATAGCAGACACTCTGGCCGCAATCTTTCAATCCTCTTTGGACACTGGAGTGGTGCCAGAGGACTGGAGGGTTGCAAATGTTACTCACCTGTGCAAAAAGGGGCAGAAGGATGAACCTGAGAACTACAGACCAGTCAGCCTAACATCAGTAATAGGGAAACTTCTGGAGACTGTAATTCGGGACAATAAAAATTCTCACTTAGAAAAATATGGTTTAATAACGGACAGTCAACACGGGTTTGTTAAAGGCAGATCGTATCTGACAAACCTAATAGAATTTTTTGATGCAGTGACTGAGAGGGTGGATAAAGGTAGTGCAGTAGACATAGTTTATCTAGATTTTCAAAAGGCATTTGACAAAGTGCCACGTAAGAGATTTATAAACAAAATTGAAGCCCAAGGTATTAAAAGGACTGTGGCAACAACATGGATCCAGAACTGGCTAGGAGACAGAAAGCAATAGTAAACGGTTGCTTTTGTGACTGGAGGGAGGTGTGTAGTAGTGTCCCTCAGGTGTTGGTATTGGGACAAGTGTTCTTTCTGATCTGTTAATGATCTGGACCTGGATATAGGGAGCACAATTTCCAAATTTGCAGACGATACTAAGCTAGGAAAAGTAGTTGATGATGAGGAGAATAGCACAAGACTCCAAGAGAACTTAGACAGATTGGTAAAATGGGCAGAAACATGGCAGACGAGGTTTAATGTGGAGAAATGCAAAGTGTTGCATTTTGGTAGGAAGAATGAGGAGAAGCAATATAAGTTGATGGTACAGTCTTAAAGGGGGCAAATGAACAGAGAGACCTGGGGGTCCACATAAGCAAATCTCTGAAGGTGACAGGACAGGTAGATAAAGCTGGTAAAAAAAAGATTACAGGATGCTAGGCTTTATAAATAGGGGCATAGAATACAAAAGTCAGGAGGTTATGTTGAATATTTATAAAATGCTGTTTGGCCTCAGCTGGAGACTGTGTTCAGTTCTGAGCACCGCACTTTTGGGAAGATGTTAGGGCATTGGAGAGAGTGCAAAGGAGGTTTACCAGGATGGTACCAGGAATGAAGGACCATAGTTATGAGAAGAGGTTAGCAAAACTAGGATTATTCTCCCTGGAGCAGAGAAGATTAAGAGGGAATTTAATAGAGGTTTTCAAGTTCATGAGAGGATTTGATGGGTTGAACCGGGAAAAACTGTTTCCACTGTCATGTGAGTCAGTAACCCGAGGACACCAATTTAAGATAGTTGGTAAAACAAACAGGGGAGGTTAGGAAAACTTTTTTCACCAGTGAGCTGTTGGGATCTGAAAGCGTGGTAGAAGCCGATTCAAGAACAACTTTTAAGAGAGAAGAAGATGGTATTTAAGGAGGACAGGATTGCAGGGCTATGGAGAGAAAGTGGGCCAGTGAGATTGATCTGGAAGCTCTTTTCGGAGCCGGCACAGACGCAATGGGCCAAATGGCTTCTTTCTGTGCTGTATGATAATTGAGCCCATGTTTATTTAATCATCGCCACCAATTCAGGTCCAAAGTCTGAGATTTCCCTGCTGGACTCTTTATCCCTTTTAAAAAGATGTAAATCGTGTAAAACACTTCACCGTGGGGCTGCCCCGATGGCTCAGAGAGTTTATTTCAGAAACACCTAAACCACACAGATCCTGGGTTCAAGGCTGATCTGCGCTGAGTTCACTGTTTCGATAAGTCAGGGGAAATCAGCCAGGGTTTCCCCCGTTCCTGATCACTGGCTGGAGGTAACAACAACAACAAAACTGATTTTTTTATAAAACCATACGGGATACTACACTTTATAAATAGGGCATAGAAAACAAAAGTCAGGAAGTTATGATGAACTTTTTATAAAACACTGGTTAGGCTGAGGCTGTGTTCAGTTCTGGGCCCCACACGTTAGGAAGGATGTCGTGGCATTGGAGAGGGTGCAAAGGAGATTGACCAGGTTGGTACCAGGAATGAGGGGCTTCAGTTATCAGGAGAGGTGAGAGAAGCCGGGATTATTCTCCTTGGAACAGAGAAGGTTCAGAGGAGACTTGATAGGAGATTTCAAAATGATGAGGGGATTCGATAGGGTGAACAAGGAGAAACTTTTCCCACTGGCGGGAGGGTCAGTAACCCGAGGGCACCGAGTTAAAATAGCTGTTAAAAGAAGCAGAGGGGAGGTGAGGAGAAATGTTTTCACGCAGCGAGTTGTTGGGATCTGGAATGCATTGTCTGAAAGGCTGGTGGAAGCCGATTCCATAACAACTTTCAAGAGAGGAAGTAAATAGATATATTTGGAGAGGACAAGTTTGCAGGGCTATGGGGAGAGAGCAGGGGAGTGAGGTTGATCAGGGCTATGGGGAAAGAGAGCAGGGGAGTGGGGTTGATCAGGGCTATGGAGAGAGAACGGGGGGAAAGGAGTTGATCAGGGCTATGGGGAGAGAGGGGGGGAGTGGGGTTGATTTGGAAGCTCTTTCCAAAGAGCCAGCACAGACACATTGGGCCGAATGGCCTCCTTCTGTGCTGTATAATTCTCTATGAGTTTATGAAATTATATTTGTATAGCGCATTTCACGTTGGGAGGATGTTCCCAGGCTCAGGACAGTCAAGGATTTGCACCCGAGCAGGGGGTTGGGATCAGGAGGGGTGGAGGGCAGGTGGTTTCATTTGACTTGTTGAATATCTGTAATTCAGGAAAGTCTTTGTCCAAAAAGTCCTGTTACCCCCATGTCACTAAACAGTGATATGAGATGATGGAGGAGGTGAAACAACCTGTCACAGATACATTTCCCCTCCTCACTCCAACCAAGTTACAGAAGATGTGGCACTGAACACTGTGACCGATCATTATCTTCTCACTCACTCACACCCATCCTCTGGACATCTAAATGCAATTAAACACTTGTACTGAATGCAAATAAATACAGTTGTCAACATTCTCCTACATGTTTCATTGTCAGTCAGTGAACTGTAGAAAAAAAACATGGGGGTAACAGGACTTTGTGGACACCCTGTACTTTAAATTACAAGATACACAGAATGTACCTTGAAATTTAATAGTTATAGTTTTCCCCCCCTTTTAAAAGTTACACTCTCGCTCTTTTTTTTCACAGCTGAAACTGCCAAAGGAGTATAACTGGCCCGAGAAAAAACTGAGAATCACTATTGTACCCGAATCGGCATTCGAGAGCCCTCTGCAGTAACACGTTGACAGTCCCGCTGCTGTGTGGCATCTTGTAAAGCTCACCAAGCTGAATTTGCAGTAGCACACTTGTGTTTTTATATAGGAAGGATAACTGTGTAGCCATTGCAAAATGAAAGGCAGTTGTTTTTAAAAGCAAAAAAACACAGGAAATCCATTCCAATTAAACTGGAGACTGTGTTGATTGTTCCTCTTATTTTAGCTCACTGTGTAACTAGTACCTTAATGACAACCGTGTGGGGAGAGAAGACCTGTCGCCCATATTATCAGGGTTTCTTGTAGCTGTGACCATGCTTGCTGTATCCGTCAACTCCACTGCTGACTCCAGCACTAAACTACAAGCCAGTGAATGTGCAGATCAGGACAGAGATGAGTTGCATTTGCAGGAAACTTATTTTGTATTAGTCCTGACTGACTAGTTTTGTACTTTTATATCTTTTTCATCAGAAAATTGAATTTTTAAATGAATTAATCAAAGTGGGAGAGTGTGGCGGAGGAAGGAGATAAGAGGTTCAGGTCTTGTGGCGAGTTTAACTTTTTCTGGTTGGTGATACATTGATTGTATCATCGTGTTATTTCCACTTGTTTTGCTATGTTGTACACCACAGTCATTTTCAAATGTTAATTTTGCGTAATTACTTAGTCTTTAGAAATGTAATCTAAATTATTTTGTTTATTTTCTCTCTCCTTTCTCCACCCACTCTACATGTTTAAAATCCACATGTTTAAAATAACTTTCTGGTAAGCTTACATTGGCTTAGTTGTTTGTCCCCCCCCCCCCCCCCCCCCCCCCTCTCGCCTCCCCTCAAGCCCAGGGACACTGAAGCTAAACGTTGCCCTGTTAGCTATTTCTGCTCTGCCCCCAACCCTGCACTGACCGGGGTAACTGCACATGGCATTGCTCTTGTGCAGGAACTGCCATCAGCAGGCCTCTCTTATGACAGCCACAATTATTAAGTAGTCCCTGTGAAAAGCTCTCCGAGACGCTGCGCTGTGTGAAGGTTCTATAGAAATGAAAGTTGTTGTATTAAATAGCCTTCCATAAGAATTTGCGAGGGTGAGAGAAGACCAAGGTCCATCAAGTTGGCCTTCTACTATCTTGGAAATCACATGACAGGTTGTGTCCCAAACTATTTTTATCACAAACAAGAACAAAGTGATAATAAGTGCTACTGCTCTGAAGCCGTACAAGACATGAGATGTTTCTGTTTATTGCAGAATGACCACAGGTCACTTGTTATTGTTTTGAATAATTATTTTAACATCTCTCTGTAGTTGAGGAACTTGGGAGGCCAGGATATTATAATAATCCTTGCATTTGATATGGCCCCTTTCACATCACGACATCTCAGGTAAAGTGTAGTAGTGACTGCATTTTGAAGCTGTGAATTCATTCATTTACCAGCATGAAAGATGGATTTATCAAACCCATCTCTTGCCAGTTTAGCAATGCTAACAGATCGCAGCAGCCAATTTGCACACAGCAGCGTCCCATAAGCAGCCATGAAGTGATGATCAATTTTAATATGTGGAGCGCGGATTGTCACCTGGGCAAAACTCCCTTCTCTGTCCCCGTCGTGTTTTTTTTAACATCCACCTGCACAAGCAGACAGGAGGCTCGCTATAGCCTCTCGTTCAGAAAGATGGATGTCGTTCCTCATGTTGGGCAATTGTCCAATCGTGGGCTCAGGTTGAGGAGCTGAGTTTCACCAGCGCAGGTGTTTGTCAGTGCCATGGGATGTGTTTATTATGTTTACAGTTGCTTTTCAGGCACCAAAATGTTGACGCCTGTTTGGCATTCGTTCTGGAAGCGAACAAGACTTTGAGCTAATGAAATCCTCAAAGAATCATCGACAAGAGTGAAACCATGAAGTCATTCACTTGCCAGTCTGTAAGGCAGATTATCAGACCCATGACTTACCAGTTTTGTTATTCTAATGGGCTGGTGTGGAGAGTAACATCCTTTCTCCCCCCCCCCCCATCACCACCTGCTGTCCAGCATCAGAAGTGTTAAAGCCAATACTCTAGCTCTCTGTACCACTTTTTTTTCTTTTGAACATTAAAAGAAAGTAAAAGGCTAAGGTTTTGAATCACTATCTAGTACAGTAGCAATCTAGCTCAACATTTTTGTAGTTCAACTTCTTCTCTTGCGCACGAGCAATGCTCATTCCCCACCCCACACACACCTCCCCGCCGCCCCCCCACCCCCACACACACACACTTCTCTCCCTCCCAGCACACACACACACACACACTTGAACATTTTACCTCTTCTCTTGCCACCCCTCTGTCAATCCAGACACAATGCAGAACTGCAGTGTTGTGCATGGTTTTTGGGTAGACGTTTTTATTAAAAAAAATGCTGATAACTAGTGCAGGTTTTTATAATGTTTTTATGGTAGTAAAAAACCCTAATGTAAATGTTTTTACAGTGTATTGTAGCACGGGTTTGCCTTTTGTAATATTTTTCAGAATCACTAATTTCATCAGTAATCTAAAGTGCATTAAAATAATTTTACTTGCTAATTCAGGAATTGGTTATTTTGTGTGTCTGTGTCATTACATAGGGGGCAGAAAGGAACAGGAGGAGGCCATTCAGGCCATCAAGCTGGTGGTGCCAATTGGTAGATCTTTTTAATCCCACTTTTCACCATAACCTTGACAAGCATATTTCTCCACCTCTCTCCCTCTCTGATTGAAGTCTTCACTTGAGTCAGTCTGATCTGACAAGGTGTTCATGTCCAATGTTTTGGCTCAAAACAGCACTTCTTAGAATCATAGAATATTACAGCACAGAAGGAGGCCATTTGGTGAGGAAGGGAAATAGAAAGGTCAAACATGTGCAGGATAGGGCACTCTTCCAATGGTTTGAACCACGTCCAATATCGGGAAATGTACCAGGAGCTGCGGCCTGCAGGCAAAACAATAGCGCTCACGATGCACAGTGAAAGCAAACAGACCGGTTATTTATTGAGTTAGGTACATCAAATCAGAAATCTTCACACCCCTCACCCACCCACCATCCAGCCTCCTTCATGACCCCCTCTCTCCCCAGCAGCCTTTAGCTCGGAATCCTGTAGTGTGATGTTTAGCACACTCGCCTGGCAAGCAAGAGGACCTGAGTTGGATTCTTGGGCAGAACATAAGCAAATTTTCTTAATCCACACACCTGTTTACCAGCAGTAAGTGGGAACCACGGTTGTTAGTCGATTGGTGGATCGCTTTCCGGGGGAAATAATTCCTCAAAAAAAAATGGTCACTTAATCCAAGACTGTTTGTGGAACACTGTTGTGCAAAATTGGCTGCCACGTTTCACCCATAGAATAATAGTCAATTCACTTAATATTCTGGGAAGAGCTTTGAGATATCTCAACAACATGATAGTTAATGAGGTTCTGGTTCACGCTGAACTGTACAGACAGACTCAGCTGTTGACAATCATTGTCATGGGTGCAAAGTAGTTAATGCCTCGAGTGATGAAACCTTTTTTTTTCTTTCCACTCACTTCACTTACACACTTACTATATTTACACTGTGCCCCTCACACAGGGAGGGAGGTGCCAGGACATGAAAGGATTTGAAAATGAGTGTGAGGTGGTGATCAGGAATATCAACGCTTAGCTGAATTATTGATGCTGATTCAAAGCTTTACCACTGTCTGACTTGAATGCATTTGGACAGTACATTGTCATTTTGAAATCACTGATACCATTAAAAGGCTGGAAGGTGGTTCAGATCTACTGAGGGAGGGAGGAAACGAGGGAGGTAATATAATAATTTGATATAGCACCTTACCATGTTATCGAGACGTCTCAAAACGCTTCACAGGATACACTGTAAAGTGTAGTGACTTGTGTATTTTGTGGTCTAAATGTGGCAGCCACTTTGTGCTCAGCGGTGACGTCCGTCCCACAGACAGCTGTGGAGTAAATTGAAATTCAATTTCAGATCGCACAGAATTGTGGAAAATTCACCTATAAAAACTCTTGCTCTTGTGCCTCAATTAATAGGGCATATTTATATAATAATAATCCTTGCATTTGATATATAATCCACTTTATGTTGAGGCGTCTCAAAGTGCTTCACAGAATATACTGTAAAGTGGAAAGCAAAATACTGTAGATGCTGGAAATCTGAAACAAAAGCAAAGATCGCTGGGAAGACTCATGTCATGGACCAGAAACATTGACTTACTTTCCTTTCTCTATAGATGCTGCCTGACCTGCTGAGTGTTCCCAGCGACTTGTGATTTGTTGTATGAAGAGCTTTGAGATGTCATCCTGCAGTGAAATGTTCCACATCAATGTATCCTGGGGTTGTATCTACCCATTCATGATGCCTTTCCGTGAGACACAAAGCTCTTGCTTGCACTGCTTTAGCTTTAGTATTTAATGGCACACAGTCACACTGAAATAATGAAGAAAAGGGAAACCAAGAATTAAAATGAAAGCCACATCACACTTCAATCTATTTATATAATAATAAATCTTGCATTTGATATATAATGCACTTTATGTTGTTGAGGATGCATCCTCTGTGATTCACGTTCCAGCCTCATGACCAATTTTATCTGTTGCATTGTTGGCTGGGACACTGGGAATTATTTCTCGAATAGTGCCATGGAATCTTTAAAGTTTAACGTCTCATCTGAAGGACAGCACTTCAGACCCTGTTGTGCTAACTAAGCCAACCCACCCCCCAACCCCACCCACCCCCCCCCCCAACCTGTCACCCATGTCTGCACTGGAGTGAGAGCCCAGACTGTACGAGTTAAAAGTGCCGGTTTGAAGAACCCATGACCTAACTCTGAGGTGAAAGTGCTACAGACTAAACTCAACACCAAACAACAACAATAAAATTGCATTTGTAAAGAGCCTTTCACATCATGAGAACGTCCCAAGGTGCTGAACAATCTGGGATCAGGACCTGAGTGTGAGGGAGGGGGGGTTTGGGTGGGTGAGATGAGGGAGGACAGAGAGGTAGGAGGGTATTCAGGAGTTTACATGAAATCCAGAAGCCTGAAATTCCAGCTAGTTTTCCTGTGTAAGACCATCGTGCCTTAAAAATGGTGAAGTTGGGGCAAGAGGAAAAGCAACAGTTGCTGATTGTGAAAAATTAATGTGATGATTCGTAATTTGGAAGCTGTTTTTTCTGCACTTTTGTAAAAAATAAAGAAATTGGCTTCTAAATTAAGGCTGAATTCAAGAATTTATTAGATAATAATAATCTTTGAATTTGATATAGTGCCTTATCACTTCGTTGTGACGTCTCAAAGAGCTTCACCGAATATATTGTAAAATGGATTGACTGTGTATTTTATGGGTGAAACATGGCAGCCAATTGCGCACAGCAGTGCCCCACAAACAGTCGTGGATTTAGTGACCAAATTTTTTTAAAAAGAAATTTTGAGGGATTATTACCCCCGGAAAGCGATCCATCAATCGACTAACAACCGGGTTCCTACTGACTGCTGGTAAACAGAGGCACGTGGAGTAAAGAAACTTGCCTAAGGTTCCACCCTGTCCAGGAATCAAACTTGTGTCCTCTCTCTTGCGAGCCTAATGCTGTAACCACTAAACTAAGGGATTATAGAGTTTTTCATGTCAAGGGGACCTCTCAAAGTGCTTCATAGGATTCTCTGTAAAATGTAGCGACTGTGTGTTTTTATAGGTAAATTTTCCACAATCCTGTGCGCTCTTAAATCGAAGATACAACGTTTGCACAGGCCGGGTGAGAACAGGTGGAAGGAAGTTTGGCCTTTAGATTGTAGAACAAGCGCAG